TAGGGATATATGGGCTAGACTTGAGGAGGAGTATGCGCGAGACTCGGAGCGATATATATTGTAGGATTTATTATATGTTATTTTGTTAAGCATGTATTAATTATAGGTATAAGTAGAGTGTTCGTGGATGGTGGGGGGGCGTGAAAACCCGCGCTTAGTCAGCTCTAAACTGACGCCGGGGCGTCAGTGTATTGGGACCCAAGGTGGTGACGGAAGGGTGGGGTACCCGTAAATTATTCCAGGCCGCTTTTGACACCGATCACCACATTACAACATCGGTCCACACCCACATTCGAGTGTACTTCAATGAATAATGATGAACTATTATGAATCAATATTTTATTTGCTTTGCCTTCAAGTCTTTTGTAATCTTGTAGCCTCTTAGTACACTAAATGTCCTGTGGCCATTTGGGTGGTCGTTTTAGGTGTAGGTTGTATTAAAATCGGCCCCGAATGATTTACCTTACTCGTATTAGTTCCGTAAGGTTAGGGCAGCGAGGGCAGGTAGGTCGAGCCGTGGTACCGGCAAGTACATAAGCATGAGGCCAACTTAAACTTTGGTGAATCCACCCACGAGGCTGGAAAAAACCAACCTTGGAAGCCCAGCCTCAAGCAAGCGGATACCATTGATACCTCAATAAATCAACAACGCAACAAAATTGCCATGCAAGACTCCATACCCATGCCCGTTCCTGCGGCTACCTCCTCAACACCAGCATCCATCCTGCCCTCCGACACAATGAAGGACGTTGTGATGAGCGACGTGACGCCCGATCGACCAGCTGTCTGACCCCTCCCCAACTCTGTTATTGAAGTGGCTAACTTCAGTATAGTCTCCGGCAATTGGGGCAATCGTAAATGCTCCCAGCCCAGCCCCTCCAAGAACTGGCACACCGGTCCGAAATACCAATGGCAACGATGCTACCTCCCGAGCCACCTCACAACATGCCGATCCTGCCCCTACCATGCCCAAGGAAGCTCCCCCTCATGGTGCACCTACGAGGCAATATTTGAATGGAAAGGTCACTGGGGTGCTGTTGGAAGGGATGAAGCAGATAGCAAAAGATCAGTACGTGTCAAACAGCATAGTCATGAGAGACTTCCGGTGGTCATGCTAACAGATTGCAGGCCGAAGGACCCGTTGCGCGTGCTTGGAGAGTATCTATTGCAAAGGTCGAAAGAGCTGGAATCATTATGAGCATGGACCTGAAGAACTGCGAGTACTATTTTGTCAGACAATATACCATATGGGTAGGAATAGGCCGAATCTGTTGCATTGGAATGTCAAATTTGAGGAGTTCATCGGTGTTCAGGTTCGTGAGGCAGCTTCTGACGAAATAATAACTGGTGCTTTCAAAGACATTTCGCTAGGTAGACAGAAAATGGAGAACATCAATCACAGGAGTAGTGGGGATGATATTTTTGCTTTGGAATTCCTATTTATCAAGGTCTACTTTCGGTAGACGGCCATCGATGCAATGTGCCCATACCATACCCCAAACTCCATGCCGGACCAGTAACACCATTTTCATGTCGACATTACATTTATGCAACCAAGGTGCTGGCAGTGGCGCTCTCATATCTCCAGGTTGGTGGGAGGACACCAACCGTCTTGTAGTAACGGGAGAGACGGTGGATTCGGGACTCAATGAGAATGAGACGGAACTTGGAATCCTTGTCCTTACGGTTGCGCTCGAGGTGCTTGCGGACAGCAACGGCCTTGAATCACAGGAATTAGTAGAGCATTAAATGAAAAGGCGGAGAGTATGCGAACCTTCTTGATCAACATGTAAAGGTCCTCTGGGATTTCTGGTGCGAGGCCTATTTGTTTCACTCTGTCAGTCAAAGACCAAGCAGAGGCAGTGTTCATCATTGCACATTGGCAGGCCACCTAAAGGTGACCTCCGTATCGACAAAAAATCATGTTTGTAATATCGTACCGTTGGACTTGAGAATTCGGAGAATCTTGTTACCTGTTGAAATTGTTAGTGCAATTCTACAGCAGGCACTTTCTAGAATTCGTTCCCAGAAATGAAAGTGACATACCAGTAACAACCTTGACTTGTGCGATACCGTGAGAATCTCTGAGGACGACACCAATTTGCGATGGGGTTGCGCCCTTCTTGGCCAACTTGCAGATCTGGTCGACAACGGTCTCTGGGGTGGTCTTGAGCCACGCTGGGGGAGTGCGGGAGTATGGGAGGGCAGAGGCTGATATGCCCTTTCCGTTGCTGTGAAGACGGCCCATGATGGATGAGAGAGTTGGTTGTCGAAAGTGTCGAGTTGGCGTTGGCTGGTTGTTTCTGTCTTGCCTTGAGAGAAGTACTTGATTCAATTTTCTGTGCGTCTGCGGTCGCTTAGAGTTCGTAGAGGTCCGTGCGCTTGCATGTGCACGTGGCGCGCTAATCTCTTTTTGATATTTAGCTTGAAGAATTTTCTCAGAGCTTTTGCAACATCGTATCGTCTCCATCACATCAAAACTCGCCTGATGATGAAATACTTGGAGTCACGCATCTGTCTTATGATTAGCTGTGAGTGTCGATACTGCCATCTCTCGTTGTTCGCGAGCAATTAATATCCTTGGTAAGCACCTCATCCGCATTCGCACCTCTCCAGCTCCGCCACGATGAACAATTCACAATGATGATACTCCAATTTTACTTATTTTCTGGTACCTCTTGATTTAGTCTCTCCTGCGGGAGTTGGCGATGATCTAAACGGACTTCTGATATTATGTTCCACCGATGTTGGCTTGAATGCAGATGTTATCGGGTTCTCGAGCTAACAGTTCCAAAGACAGAAAAAACGGGACAAGACCAGAGGCTACTCCTTCCAGATTGGCGGATGATTCATCGCTCGAACACATGTATATCTATGTTCATACATATTTAAATGGTATCATTTTCTCACCATCGTGTCAATATACTGTTACCAAACGTACTCCTTTCAATGTCTGATTTCTTCCAAACGCTATTCACCGTGCTCAGGTCTATCTATATCAAGTCAAACAGCTGCATGCACATGACATGTAGAGCCTACGTTGCAATCAATTCCTTGAATATCTCCACCAGTTGTTTTCCAGTTTGTACCACATTGTCCACCTGTTCACCTGTACAATGCCTAGCGAGCTAGGTGCTTCAATTACAATAATCGAGGCCGTTGAGGCTGATCACTTTGATTGATTGCCCTGAGTCGCTTTTTTTCCTTTCCTTCTACCAGTTGCTCCATTGCTCCAGACACATAGAACAATGATATTCTTTACTGCCACTTTTTCATGTCTTGATCAGGGCTGAAAATGCCGGGAAAGGCTGGGTTCTCCACTGAGGTTAAACGCCCTCAACGCCCAGCGTCCGGAAAACCGCCACCATTTCCGATCTCACCCATCCATCGAGACCAGGGGTTACCAGATCCCCGCAGCAGTCATCCTATCGACTTGACTCTTTCTGGCCATGTTTAACGACATTTTCCGCTGGTGGCGCCGATACCCAGTAGGCCACTTTGGAGGGATAGAAGGTTTAAAATAAACACGTCGGTCCTGCCACATTAGTCCACTGCTTGATATCATGGACCCAACGCAACAGGTGTAATGCCTATAGCCACCAACTCTTTCAAATCTGGCCAGCTGAATGGAAATGAAAATGATACTCTATACCCACAGCCAAAATAGGAATACAAGAGCCATGTGGGAGGGAACCCGTCCATCACTAGCCGCTTGAATACTTCCCTCCTGCAACTGTTCGGTGATGGTCAAGCAGGACGCTCACCGGCGACCGTTTTTTGTCTTTCCCTAGCTCGCACAAGTCTTTTACCGTTCTCCGAGAGCATGACGGGACGGTAAGCGCTGAATATCGTTGGGCTAGTCAGTCATCACAACCTAAGACACGGGAAAGAAATGTACTCATACTGTAGAATAGTTTAGATTGTGGTCCTCCTTCCATGCTACTGCAGGAGTAGGTCGTGCTCTTGGGTCCAGGCCAGTCGTTGAGGCCGTCCTGTCGAGACATGACTCGAATTGAGCCCTAGCATCCACCACTATAGTCGCTCCAATCTGATGTAAATGGGTACTAGGCCCTGAATTTCTTATAGCCGTGTTCAAGATAGTACTTGGTAGCACCCGTTTGAGGCTTGGAGACGACCGTTTAGAATAAAATGTTTTGTGTCACAAGGTGGATCAGATCAGCACTTGCAATTCGTCCAGCTACGAGCTTGATCTCTCCCTGCTCCACGCCTTCTCTATTAACAGTATTGTGGGAAAGTGCTATTTCCTAGTTCTGATGCGGGAACAAAAAGGCAAAGCGTGGAAGTTCTACCTCAAGGCTACTGAGTCTATTGTTTGAATATCACAAAGGCGTATTGGTCGCGTTTCCACTCTGTCTTCCATGCCGAGTCATGCAAATTGTCTGAAATTGAGCTCATGAACAATACAGCCTCGTGGCTTCCCGGAAGTGTTCTCACAATTTTGCTTTGGTTTGGGGAATCGCAACGAGAAGGCCACGGTCGTCGCCTTTTTCTTTCCATTCCACTTCCTGGCAGTCTTCAATTCCTACACCATTTGCAAATTGTGCCACTACAAAGTCTATTGGTTTCTCTCCAATAACTACCATTGGTGCATGCCTTTTGAAAGGAGTATTAGCCTTGTTGACTAAATGATGAATTGTGGAGTAGAATGGCATTCAGAAAAAGTCCATACCAGGTCCCCGCTCCATAAGTTACTGCTTGTGAACCATCCGCCAAGAAAGCCTTGATACCATTGAGATCCGGTAAGCCTCTCCCAGGATATCTTTCATTTTCCAAATTTGCCGCAGTAGGCGTAGGAACAGGTAAGCTTTCATCTTGCTCTGACGGCTTCAAACTCGGTGCTACGATAACGAGGTATTGACATTGTTGCGAATCTTTAGATGAGAGACCAAGTGGGATGAAAGTTTGCGTTGTGAAAGGATGCCGTTCTAGTATCTCTACTTTGAAATGGCCTGTCATTGACCCAGTCGAATCCGGGGTTGAGAGTAGAGAACGGGGCGCACAGACGAACATGTTCATTACTGCCTTTCCTGGTGTGGTGGATTCATTGTAGAAGTTTCGCATATGTGTAATATCTAGGTATTTGAGTGCGCTTCCTTGGTTTGCTAAGACGGCTTGAGGCGGGAGGTCTTGTAGATGGGGGTGCGGTGTAAGAGACGGCGAGGGATTTGAGATTACGGTTCCAAATTGCGAGAAAGCATCTTGATTGAGAGGCCCAATTGATATGGTCTTGCTTTGAAATGGAAGTGGTATTATTAGAGTCATAGTGTCCTAAGTTATAGAGCGTATTCTCGTGGCATTGGATGATGTTAAGTTTGTTGTCACGTTCTGAGTTTGTGCTTCGCACGTGACAAGGCACTGATTTGTTTTGTGAAATCCAGTCGTTGAAATCTTTGAACTTGTACAATGATGTTTATTGTTGCACATCAAGATGTCCGGTTGTCACTCTTTACACTGTTCATCAAGAGAGGCAAGAGAGGAAACAATAGAGAAACAGTCCCCGCCCACTACCCGTTATTCAATCTTTCTGGGTTAACTTAAGCAGTTTCTCTTTGGGGCAAAGAGGAGAGAGGGCTTTTGGAAAAGAATTCTTTGCGTATTTCTCAGGTAGTCTCAGGAAATCATCGTGGGTATTCTGGTTAGTTAGAAAGATGATGCTATTCATTGCCACTTTTCTTGTCTATCAACCCCTCTTGTGATTCTTCCATATAAACACGACTATTTCCTTAAATTACTTACTTGCGTACTGCTATATATAGTTGAGCTTGAATACCTCAATAAGGCCTATCCCTAAGTGATAGTCCTCCTTCACTTCATCATCAGGATACCGAGCCCTAACCCTGACCCAAACCTCGCTTAGGCCAGACAACTTGAATTGGTCGAAAATGGGTAGGGAATCATTCCTGCTCGGTATTCGCAACCGAAATGGTTTTATATACCGTGTATCAATCTGAAGAGAAAAGCTTTTGGTGGTCGTCTCAATTGTCTTGATATTTGCGAAGTAGAAGAAAAGTTGTCCTGTCTCCCATGGGTCCTTCGGTCTCACGTCTTGATTAATCCATAGTATAATATGCAAAGTGGGTTGTTCAAATACTCAGGAAGTTTTTAATTTCACTGTGTTCTATCTATTGAAACCCCATCATCAAAGACACTGTGCTAGATACAATGACACTGCAATCCAAGAATCAGACTTTCATCTCCAATGAGTTTCCAACCAATGACTTTAAACCCCAAGAAGAAAGATTTGAACAGAGAAGATTCTTAAAACCAGCAGGCTCAGACATGCCAATATCCTCCAAGTCCTCAAGCGGAAGCTGAAACGCCTCGGTGATAATTTATATCTTTCCTCGTGTCGTCTTTGGCAGGTGTCAACTTTATTCTGGACGTGGTTTCCACTACAAGATATTGCGTTAGTGTACTACTTCAGATTTTTTGGATCGTAGATGGAGTGGAAGCGTTTTGAAACGGTGTAAGGAGGTTTCTTGGATACTTACTGCCAACCAAAAGTCGTTAGGACCCGAGATAGCAACATCAGTCCAGATTGTACTTCCGTCGCCAATGAAGTATTTGGTTGTGCCAAGGAGATCGTAGCGCACGATATCGCCACCGCCAACGGGCTTAGATTCCGCGTAACAGTTTGGCCAATGAATGGCACCAAATTCAGTGAGGGGGAGGCTTCCTTGTTGAGGGCCAAGGTAAACCTTTTCCACAATCCATTCCGCTGTACGCCCAGTGAGAGCGAAATCTGGGGATGGTGCATCAAGATCTTTGTCAACCCGTTGGCCGGTGTTGTGGTTGACGAAAGTGATTTTACACCATGGGTCGCAGCATTCCAATCAGAAAAGATTCTGATCTCAAGTGTATCTCCTGGTTTAAATTGGAACTCGGGAACAGGAATAGATTCTTGAGGAAGCCATTCGATCCATGCAATTGCTTCAGTTTCAACATTACCGCCCTGCTTTGTCATACTGATTGTGAAACCAGCTTGAAAGAGGTAAGGCGGTCCAATACCATCAATTCCAACCCAAGGGGCGGTCAGATATGTTGCATCAGCGGCATTGGGAGGGAGTCTGTATTCTGGCACTACTAAATAAGCCCCAATAAAGGTAAATCGTTGGCCAGAGGCAGGAGCTTCATAAGCAAGTCCAGCCCACTAAAACAGGATGTCAGTATTTTAAATCACAGGGAAAGGAATCTTATTGTTCAACTGACATTGATGCTGTACTGATCGGGAGGTGCGTTCGAAATATGTGAAACCGGGTGACTTAAACCTTGAGCTGCTGGGGATTGAGCGAAAATGACAGGATGTCCTTGATGAATAGATGTATTGCGAGAGATATGATGAGGGCCATTTTGTAAGATACCAAGGTCCTTTTCAGCAGCACGAGGGACGGTTCTAGCCAAGACAAGCATACACCCTAAGAGGCTGCATAAAAGAGTGAGGGGCTTCTTGACGAAGAAAGGTTGTACGTTCGAAGACTCCTTCAATCAAGCTGACGCAAATCGAGGGACCACAAAGAGGAGACTTGGTATCAGAGAAAGTGTTGGAGGAGAGGCGGTAAGAAGAGCAAGATATCTATTCACAAAGGATTTCTTCAAAGGGATAAAGCGGATGAATACTGAGCGAGCAAGTCAAACTCTAATTCCGATAGTTTACTTACAGGGTGATCACAAGCCAAGGCAAACTCTGGTCTTTTCTCCATTAGGTTAAGCGAGATGTTATGTTTGAGGGTATTCACTCATGAAATTATTGAATAGTCGCACATCAACATCAGACTACCTATGGATGGATTGGAACTGAACAAACAGTATTGGACAGAAACAAGAGAAATTTCCATGAGTTCCTGAGCTTTATCCCATTGGCTTATTCTTGGTTGTCTGCCATGTCAGACTTTTTACTGAAATTTTCACTTTTGCAACCTCTTCAAGAGTCTCAAAGAAAGCTAACTTAAGAGCTGACAGTGAATTTGGCCTACTTAGCAAATGAACAAGAAACAATGATAGTTACTGGTCTACTGAGTAAGTTTTTATTGATTTACCACTACCCCTTACCTCCGTATGCCCCTGGTACACTTACGGGGCCGAACCAGATGTGGAGTGGTTATGCTGTACATTTTCTTGAGTTACGGAGTACCTGCAGGTAAAAACAATAACCGGCTGTATTTCAACCATTATCCCGAATACACTGACAGCATTCACCGTTTTTAGCGGAACACATTAACCCTTCTGACTTTATCACGCCGCCCTACAGAGCATCTGGTGATAGCCTTGATCCTACGGAGTAAAGCTGACTACTACCTGCGTGATACTATGAATTCACTAACGACTATATCTCTTACAGGGACAGAAAAAACAATTGTATGTAGCCCTCCCAAAGTATGCTTGTTTTTTGCAACTTTGAAAAACTACCAAGCGTAGTCAAAGAAGACTAGGTACTCGTTCAATTACAAGCAAAGTCCACTGGTATTTCTTATACTGATCTCTGACTTTTTCAGAGTATTCAAGTCTTTCTGTTCTTACAGGATCTGGTGAGCACACATGGATGTTTTCTTAGTTCTTGTAGATTCTGCATGTCAAGTGGCGAAGGCTTAAGCGAGTAAAAACCTTAAAAGAGTAATCCCACCAGAGCACAAGCCTTGATCTGGTAACGACATTCTTGCCAACGCACCAAATGATCCATATACATCCTTCAGAATCAGATTCGAATGTATTTGTATACCGTACTTCTTTGTGTTTTAAAGTTAATACAAATGTAGTCATCAAGGGCTGCAGTCATTCACGGCTCGAGATTTCAGGTCCTCCTATATGCAAGTGCCTTGATATATCACAAACCATTAAGGTACTTAAAACTCATACAATCAATCAGACAATCAAGATCAGATATACCATACTGGTGCTTGACATCTAATTCAATACGAAATTACGTCTGAGCTCTGGTTACTACTCAAACCCTATCTTATTTTTGAAAACCACACAAAAACAGATCAAGATCAAGCAGTTATGTGACAATAGAAACGGTTGAGAACAACGCGCTTTTATAAGCCTTGATAATTTCAAATATTTCGGGACAGTTACGTGGCCCTTTTCAGCACTGTAGCACGATCTGGGACTTTATTACAGTAAGAGAGGCGGGCATTACTCTGTACACGCTATCGAAAGTCATGATACTAAAAGTCTGGCACAAGTATATCAATTGTCCTATTTCACCTAGGTTAATCAGGAGTAAAAAGCGTCAGTTACCGTATTAATTGGTATATAAGATGTCATTCTTATATAAGATATCCCGCGACATAAGATACGGTTCTAAGCTAGAGCAGAAATCATATCTTATAAATCTAACTAATAGAAACGTACCGAATTACCCCTTCATTAAGTACAAATATACTAAAACGCAACCTAATTCCTGTCTTTTGACCCGTCTTTCCTATGTATTTACATATTTTACCTAGAGGATATAGGTTCTATTAGGCCACTTACCGCTTGAGTAGAAACAAGGAAGCTGAAAATACGAGAAATGGGATTGTGGTCGTAGAAGCGGTAATAGGGGGTGGTCGGTATCCACTTTTTTGTTTATTAGATATTACTTTCTACATAAGATAAGGTTTCGATCATCGATTTAACAAACTTTTCGAATACCATATGTTATCTTATATACCAATTAATACGGTATTCTAAACCATTCGTATAATCGATTCAGCTGTAAAGGGTCTTTAGGATAATATTTTTATAACTCAGGTGAGCATCTTACAGAGCAATGCCCGACCCCCAAGAACTGTTGATGAAATGATCGATATAAAATCCTACTTAACTTAAAGTCTTGAATAATTCGTCACTTCCCCCCAGACAAACTTTCACCGCTCCCAAAAATTCTTTGACCATTCCCCATTCCCCAAAAGGAGCTCACCCTCAGAAAACTCCCCTCAAACCAATACCAAGTTGGCAATTACCGATCATCCACAAACGCATCGTTTCACGCTTCACATATCGAGTAAACACAAGAATGGCCTAGCAGTGGCGGAAGCTTTTCCAGTTCTTACGAAAGACATATCATTGGGGGCCATTTCTTGAAGGGAAAGGAAATGTATACTCTCGGTAACGAGTCAATCACGAAAGTACCATGAGATAACTGCAGCCCGTTCATTTAGGAGTAAGACTGCGCAATGGGATCTGCATTCATAGGTTTGAATTAAATCATGCCCATCATTACAACCAATCGACTTTTGTCGCAGATGCCGGTCAAATGATATGGGTTGAAGCGGAATGTCTATAAATTCGTTGATTTGCTGCTGGTCGTGGTTCCCCCAATTTCTATCCGCAAAAGAAAACAACCAAATCAGAAAGTAGAAGTAATACAGATATCTACAAAGCATCTCACTGCTCTCAAACCCCGCTCACCTTGGCTCATCCATCTCCCACCCCCCAAAGCCCCACTCCAACGGCCCCATCACTTAAAACCTCGACCTCGACCTCATCAACCCCACTTCTCCCACCTAATCTCTCAACCACAATCCACAAGCCCCCACGATCACTATCGCACATCTCGGGACTGACATCCATATCACAACTTCGTATACCCATCGGCGCATCACTAAAATCATCTTTATTGCTCACATCCAGCACGCTTTTGTTTGGTCCCTGCCCACGCTCAAAGGAGATCTTGAGCAGGGGACGCGAAGGCGTAGATTTATGAGAGTAGGAAGGGGCAAGTGACCGCGCGACAAGAAGGATCTTTGTAAGACGATTGACGGTGAGGGGGGCGAGGAGACGATCCGTATTATTTTGGAATGTTAGGATGGGCAGACGTGTGGAGAGACGACCTGCTGTTTCGGCGGGAATCGGGAGGACGGTACACGGTATGCTGGAACCAACGCGGAGGGTAAAAGCTCCCGTCTGTCCCGCTTCAAAGGTTGAGCATACAATAGTATATTTTCCTTTCTCGGCCAAGGGGAGGGATGCGAGAGCACATCCTCGACGGTAGTCTCCCGAAGAAACTAGGATATCCTTTCCTGTAATCGAGGTTACGCGAGAGCCTGAAGAGTAGACTATTTTGACGTGAACGGCGAGTTCAGGATCGTTGGTGTCGAGAGTGAGAGTAAGAGGCGTAGGTTTTGGGACAGCAATGCTAAATTGTGGGTTCAAGGGGTAGGTTGCAGCACTGGCATTCCCGCCTGCGGTGCGTGATGTCCAGGCACCAGCGTGGGAGGTGAAATGAGGAAGACTATCGACAGCTGAGGAGATTTCGACTGGGCTCCTAGAGAAGCATGATAGCGTGAAGGAGTACTTTGGAAGTGGTAGGCCATGTTGTGCGCATACAAATGTGTAAGTTACGGATGGGTCAACCTCAAGCCTTGCGAGTGTTTGAGGAGAATCAACGAAGGCGCCACGATGAAGCGCATCGTCTGATAAATAAACACGTTTACCATTTGTTCCCGAAAAGACATAAATGCTGGTAAAGCCCAAAGTATTAGACGTCCCAGAAACTGGCGTGGACTTTAGAGCTATATCGTGTTCTGAGGTGGCGAAATGCCGGCTGAGCATCAACCAAATTTTTCCTTTTTTGGAGGGTTTGATAGAGTATTGAGGATTGTGGATGAAGGAGCCAGGGTTTACCGTGGATGGAATTACCCAAGAGAAGTGGTGGTCTTGCCTGTATTTGAATAACCCGGGATTCCAATTGAGATAGAGGGACTCAAAATGTTGCACAACATCATCCAAACTCATCCAAAATGTACCTGGCGAAGTTGCAGTCTGAGGGAGCGCATTTTCCAAATCTTGAGTCCAGCCTTGTTGTGATGACTTGGTGTCGGGAACGTAAAGCTTTCCTTTCCAGACCATGCCGTCACACCAAGGATTCTTTACGAGCAGCAATCGTTGCCCACCGACTTCTTTCAAATCAAGTATGGCATAATCGTGTTGACCAGCCAAACCCAGTTCTCTTTCCTCTTTACGACTCAACTTGCCTGTACCTAGGGTTAACAAAACGTCTCCAAAGTGGAAAGAGTTGAGAAGGCGGTTCCAGAGAGTTTCGGGCTCTAAATCGTCGCTAAGATGAAGCATCAGAAAGTGATTATATCAGCGAGCGTTTGACCCACCTCTTGAGGAATATTTGTTCTGGGATCCACCCTGTTAATACCCATAGATCTGTGCCAGAGTTGGAGCCAGGAAAATCGTATCCGCCTCGCACTTTGAGATATGCCTTTTCTAGCAATGCGGGCCACAATAGATGAGGGTTATTCCGATCAGTTACATGTAAGCAGCGATCTGTAGTTGAAGATGGAAGGCGATCGTCAATCGTAACTCTTCTTGAGCAGCCATTGAAGTTCAGCCTAAAGATGTATTTCCCATTTTCAGAAATTCTGGGACGCTCCTTTAATTTGTCATAGGGGTAAATCATTGAAGAAAGTAACTATGCAAAACTTAGCAGAATGAACTTACGAACTGATTTCAAGACAGAGCAGAGAAACACACCTGCCCATGGCCTTTCAGAGCCCTAGATGTTCCAGCACAAAGACTTGCAACGACAGAGCAGTCCGTGGTGATGTCTTGTACCAGGTCAATCTTTTCAACAGAGCCCATTAGAGTCTCGTCAATTGCAGTATCAAAAGATTGGCCATCTTGAGGCTTATGAAGGTATTCTTCTGGTCTCTGCCAACCACCAAATATATCTTCTTGGCACTCGGAAAGCTTTAGATCTACTGGATCACTGTAGAGATCAGAACCTAGTCTGGCTACAAGAGGGCAGGTGTGGGGAGACTCTACGTGTATATGGGCTTTCCGTTGAAAGGCTCTTTGAATACACCTTCGTCAGGTTCTGACTTCCATGGTGGGAAAATAAAGCCATGAAGCTTTGAGCCTTCAAGCAATATGATCTCTTCACGCTTTGATAGCTCTCGTGTAGAAACGGGCGCCTTGAGCAGGAATGATGTGGACGTAGTCGGTGTCCATTCTGTGGCTTTCTTGATCTCCTCAGCTCTTGAGAGAATTTGCTGGCACTTGCTGCGAAGTCTTGCTTTATCGTTGTCTTTACTTGCGAGCCTGGTGGCTTTCATGTACAATTCAGCTGCGCGAATGGCATTATTGATGGCATCTTCTTTAGTGAGCGCTCTGTCGATTTTCAACTCAGCCGCCTGAGACACACGTGAGTAAAGGCTTTTGAGGTGCAGAAAGAGTAGCTGGAGGATTGACTCACCTGGGCGTCAACCTCCATCGCTACAGTGTCGGTTGATTGTATGCATGCATCCACGTGTCTGAATAGATGCACCCGGGATCGGAAAATGTGTAGAATTTTTGGTGTTGTTGTTGCGAATGCAGACAAGTAGAGAAGTACTATGTACTGGTCGGCTGGAACACCAACTGGCAGGGGACTGCTTCTCCTGCACCCTTGGCAATTGATCGTTGCTGCACTGCCGCGAGCAGTGGGGGCCAGCGTGAGGTGGGGCCCCGCGTCTTCTGTAAATCAGCAAACCGAGGTCATCTCTCCAAGCCTACCCAGCCAACCTTACTCGGTCCGCCATGGCCATTCCGTCAGAAGTTGTGAACATGCTCATACTTTCCATACTTGATTGCTCTCCTCCAAACTCCTAAATTGCTGACTTTCGGCTCTCTCTCCTTTTTGCCAGTATCCTTTACCCTTCTCTCGCTCCCACACATTGCATTGGCTGGTTCCCTGAATCGATATTCTATAAGCGATCTATCCGGCAATAGCCTCGGCAACCATCATTTGGCCAAAGAGACCGAGACCGCAAACGTCCCCTCCATACTCGAGATAGCTGCCAATCCAAGAGAACTCACCTCAACACAACATGGCAGGACAATCAAAAGAGGCTGTAATTCCTCCTTGGGGGTTGGCAGTAGCTGGAGCTACCGGCGCTGTCATTGCGAATGCTCTGGTCTATCCTCTTGACATGTGAGCATCTCCGTTTCCCTACGACCCACCCAAATGCGATTTTTGGAACAACTTGTATGATTATGTACCCAAATGCTAATTACAATATCTGCTGTAGAGTCAAGACGCGTCTTCAAGTCCAAGTCAAAAGAAAAGAGACAGATCCCGCACCAACGGGTGCTGAACCAGTTCATTACACTTCAACATGGCATGCGATTACGAGCATAGTTGACGACGATGGCATGTTGGGATTGTATAATGGCATACATGGGGCGCTTATTGGGGTCGCATCTACGAATTTTGCATACTTTTATTGGTACTCGGTTGTTCGAACTGTTTATATTGCACAAATGAAGGTCAAGACTCCGCCAAGTACCGCTATGGAATTGGCCCTTGGGGCAGCCGCTGGAGCAGTAGCGCAAATCTTCACTATTCCTGTTGCTGTGGTCACTACTAGGCAGCAGACACAATCTAAGGATGAGAGAAAGGGCATGGTAGATACTGCTAAGGAAGTCATTCAAAGCGAAGATGGGTGGACGGGGCTTTGGAGAGGGTTGAAGGCTAGTTTGGTGCTGGTTGTTAACCCAGCTATTACCTACGGCGCATATCAAAGATTACGAGAAGTTCTCTTTCCAGGAAAATTGAACCTTAGACCCATGGAGGCATTCTGTCAGTACCGTTCCCCCCAATTCGATCGAATCTTTTCTAATATTACGAAGTACTGGGAGCAATGTCGAAATCACTCGCTACAATCGCAACCCAGCCATTAATCGTTGCCAAGGTTGGCCTTCAATCAAAGCCACCTCCGTCTCGAGCAGGAAAGCCTTTCAAAAGTTTCCTCGAGGTAATGCAATTTATCATTCAAAATGAAGGATTACTGGGATTATTTAAGGGTATCGGACCCCAGATTACCAAAGGTCTTTTGGTACAAGGACTTCTTATGATGACAAAAGAAAGGTATGTTCTGCCCCTAACTGAACCTTGCAAACATACTGACCACATTCAGGATGGAACTTATGTTCATTCTTCTCTTTAGATACATGAGAAGACTCCGATCAGAGCAACTTCAAAAGGCGGCAGATCTTGCTTCTTCGGCAGCCAAAGAGGCTCTTCCTTTGGTAACAAAGTAGATGATAGAAATCGTTAGATTGTTCGACTGTTCTTGTGAATTTAGACTTGGTTTATTGATAGAATGGCGTGGAGTTTTTGCAACTATACGGATCTATTTCGTGGCATGGGTACATATGGACTAGGTTAATTCCGAGCTTGAAATTGACAAGATGACTTAATTTCAGAAGAAGCTCGCCTTATTTCGAATTCCTGTGAGACGAAAATTGATTCCAATTTTCGATCCTTGGAAATTTTTACATGATCCACGAGTTTCGCCGAGGATCTCGTACCACTCTTGGTGGACAAGAAAATGGCAGATAATCCTTCTCTACTAGTGCGACTCCAGTAAACCCATTTGGTTATGGTGGTTACTGTAGTCTGTTTATCGGAACTAATCAAAACGATTAATCCAAAATTCTAGAAAAATCAAGGTAAATCCCCAAAATATTCAAAACATTCAAATACTTTAATTTAGTAGACCAACTTATGCTGCTAGATAGAAAAAAGCATCTCTGTTACTTTCGATATATACCAGGTGCCTCACTACATCGACAGGCTCAGCTTGACCAAGAACACAAAGACTTTCTCCACGGCTCACCTCAGAGTGAGATTTGATATTTGCAAGTGATGTCAATACGAGCGAGTGTTATCAATTGTGCTGGTCCCCGAAACAAACTTCTCATTGGATGATGCGCTAAATTTAATCTTATCCTCTTGTCGTCCACTGTCTTCACTCAACAACCCGACACTACACCTAGTTCTTCCAGTCACCTTCAGACTGACCTCCTTCTTGCCAATCGATCTTGCAAGTCCTCGATCCAATAAGCCTCTCACAATGAGGTCGAAGAAGCCCAAGGAGCCGAAAACCCCAAAGTTCGATTGGAAAAACCTGTCCGAGAAGGAGACGGAGGAACTGGCGAAGGAGATGAAAGCCAAACTCCGCAAGCTTGTAAAGGTTTACCCAGAGGAAGCGGCGGAAGCGCCGAGAGAGACGCGCCGAGAGAGGAAGAAACGTATCAGACTGATGATAGAGAAGAGCAATGAAGGGTTCGTTGCAGGTATGAATCCGCGGGTTGAAACAACCAGGCTAAATCAGCAAGCGAAGGTTCAGAAGAAGAAGAAGAAGAAGAAAGGGAAGGTATCACAGCGCGAAATAAACTGGCTGAGAAGCGAGTCGAGAAGGGTAGGAAATGGTGATGGTTTGGATATGGCCAGATATGATCAAATTGCAACACCTCAAACCAACACGACAGACATTGACTACAATGCGTTTCTGAAGGCATACCCATCAAATTGGTTGCATATCATCGAGGCGGGGGGTTCCAGCTTGAATCACGTGAAAGTATAGGACCCATTTTTATCGGAAGTTGGAACCAATCAGCCGAATTCGCACGCACAAATTTGAATCTATCTCAAAATCCAAATCCTCCGAGCGAAGATACTCACGAACCTCCTCATCTCGACAAAACAACCAGCGCCATGGCTAGTAAGACTGCTCGATATTGCTACCAGATTGACAAATACTAATGTTTGTCTTCCACAGAATCCAAGAACTCGTCTCAACATAATCAGTCCAAGAAGGCTCACCGAAATGGGTAAATTCACCTCCACGCCCCCTCCACACGCGCGATCTTCGATTCCTCAATGAGCTGGGAGACATATGGGATGGCGATATTTGAAGTAGCGAGAGGCTGATGTAATCTGATGTGCAGTATCAAGAAGCCAAAGACCTCAAGATACCCTTCTTTGAACGGCACCGACCCAAAGTTCCGAAGAAACCACAGACATGCGCTCCATGGAACAATGAAGGCATTGGTAGGTCGCCTCGAACCCTCGGGACCGCGGACCAAAGCCAAATACTGACTATTGAGTAGAAGGAGTTCAAGGAGGGCAAGCGGGAGAATGCATGATGACCACGATGAACTTTCTTTCCTTGGGATTTGGCTGCGGTAGCTACATGGGCACGGTTGCGTCTTTCAAGCGGTTGATGGAGGAGCATTGTCGACATTCGCAATAAAGGGCGCTCAGGGCGGGCGATAGTTCAGGTCAGAATCAACAAAATCGAAATCACGTCACCAAAGTTTCGATGATATATCGGATTTCAAGTCAGGGTGTGGACCTGATGTCCATCGCTCCCCACGTGAAGTATGATGACAACTAAAACAAAAGGCATTAGTGTGTACAGCATTACGAGCCTTTCCATGCTCATCTGCTGAAGGATTTTTTCTTTCGTGCCAAGATCAACTTAGGCCTCTTCATTACCAAACAGATTTCCTCCATGCTCTATGAGGTCAATTCTGCATGAAGATTGGGGTCACATTTGGGAAACATATTTGGGAATTTGGCTGAAACGACGTAGGCAGGTGATTAATGAGGAAGGAAGAGTGCAACGAAGTTGTCTATTTTTTCAAAGACAAGCTTGTGGTGTTCTGTTGATACTATACCAATTGGTGATGTAAAATACTAACATTATTAGCCAGCCACCACAATATAGCCCATTGCCAAGAGATATCAAGTTAAAGAGCTTATCAAATCAACCATTTTTGTCTTGTCCCGGTTCCAATCTGATATCAATAAAGTTTCTGGGTTCATCTTCTTAAATTTGAGACGTGATAAAGTATCCTGGGCTGGGCGTCGCGCTGGGTAAAGGAAGTCGGCAGTTTGACTCGTGTGGTGCCAAAGTTGTTGTAACCTAAATTCCGAATACTGTACCTCCGTAACCTGGAACTTCCTGTACACGCGCCTGCCAGTGCCAGACGAAGTGCTAGAAGAAGTGACTGCTCATACGGAGTACTGGTGACTGATAGAGAAGCCAGTGACTAGACTCTTACTCATCCCAACTCTTCGACGTCTCGGAAGACATCTGCATCTGCGTAAGATCGATCTTCTCGCTGGTGTTTCTGCCTCGGACAACGTCTTTGCTCTGTACGTTTCTTCTCGACGACTTCGTACTAGCGCGATCGTCTGATTTAAAGCTGCGAGTTGACCGTTCACCACGTTGGCAGTGGAGGCTCTCGCTCTAGTCATCGTCGGCGGGCGTAGCTTGGGTGCAGCAGCTGTGCGCAGGCTCGCAGCGCGGTATTCCGTACCTACGGAGGACTTCTACGAAGGAACGTCGTACATGTGGGAGACGGGAGACTGGGAGTACGCCCACGCCCACGCCCACGCCCAGCCAACCCCAACTCGCCCAACTCTACCGCACTCAACCGAGAACTCTCTCGCTTCCTGTCTTTCCTGTCAGCAGCCGGCTTCTGCAGGAGTTCCTTTGTCTACCAGTCTCGNCCGCACTCAACCGAGAACTCTCTCGCTTCCTGTCTTTCCTGTCAGCAGCCGGCTTCTGCAGGAGTTCCTTTGTCTACCAGTCTCGAGCCAGTATCCCTCGAGCTCCAAAACTGATACTGTACCAACCACAATCCACAATCCCCAATCCTCCTCCCCCCTATTATTCCCCCCGCCACCACACACCACACGCTCTTTCAAGTTTGCACCACAACCCATTGTTCTATATTCGGCATCCAACATCACCACGCAACGCACCGCATCGCAACGGTCGACCCGTTCCCGGCCCGTGCCCTCCCCATATCCCTACAACAGCAACCCATAAACTAGGTGCTCTCCGTACCCACGCCTATCCCTCCCAAATCACACTGAGTCCGACAGTCGTACATACAAGTACCCCACCCCGCTTCACCCCTAAAACGACGCAGCATTAATCGCCGTCCTTCCCTCTGCGGACTAGCTAAGGACAAGCCCTCGAGAAGCTTCAAGCATCGTTTGCGAAACGCCAGTTCGCATTCACGGGCCACGTACTGCTCCGAGTTCGAGGTCTTCCTTTTTGGACGTTGGAAGCAGCAGAGGGCCAGATTTGACGAAGTGGCAGATCTGGAGCTTCGTTTCAGATTTTCCCGAGACCCTCCAGTCTTTTGTGCTCTCACCACCTCATCATTACCATCTCAGCTTTTTACAGCTTCCACGCGATCATGCTCAACATGTCCGCTATTGGTAACCGAAACAGCACTCCAGTAGAGTCGAGCAATACCTCATCCCTCCGACCCCCATCTTCGCGTCCGCTGAACTCACACCAGCTACGAGCATCAGCAGATATGGCAGCCTTTCAAGCTTCGCCCCAATCGAGTCGTATTCGTCCTTCCTCGGACTTTTATGGCACACAGCAAGCTCAGCAGCAGGCCCAAGGTGGTGGGGAAAGCGACACGAACGATACTTTGGCACAGCAATGGATAGCCAGTATTGATCAGTATGAGACGACTTTGGAGGAGATGGCTGCTGCGACTTTGGATCAGGACTTCAAGGATGAGCTTTCTGCCATCGAGCAATGGTTCCGTGTTCTTAGCGAAGCAGAGCGTACCGCTGCTTTGTATGCTCTCCTTCAGCAGACCACACAAGTTCAGCAAAGATTTTTCATCCAAGTGCTACAACAGATGGGAAAGAACCATCCTATGTCCGGTGTGCTCTCCCCTGCCAATTTTGATAAAGGTATGGAACAAAGATCTCCTCCAGGTGATTTACTCAGCTAACCCTATACCCCCTTACAGATCCCATGTCAAACCGTCTGAGTGATGCTATGGGCAAATTAAATGTAGATGGCAACAGAAACTCATTAACGCGGCCGCCCACGACTCCGGGTTTAAAGAGACATTCTGGACTCGACCCGTCTACGATCAATGCAATGTTCCCCGATGCGGCCGCTGCCATTGCAACAGAGAAAGCAAAGTTTACGCAACAAACGGGAAACCCGCCGTCATCCAACCGGAACAGCGCAGCGTTCGATAACCGCAATTCCCTTGCAGCGCCCACCATATCCGGCCCGGCCGATTCGGCAGACAATAACCAACAGCCGCCGCCATCCCCATGGGGCTCTCGCAACGAAAATGCACGACCAAAGTCATCCTCCGGTCAAGCTCCGATGGGACAATTTATCCAACCACCTCCTTCTGCTGGTCTCCGTTCGCCCAACCCAATTCCCGGCAACCAGAACTTACAAAGTACTACGATCAACGCACCGGACAATCAGGGCCCTGGTCTCCCTCCCCTATCACCATATGCCCCGAACAATGGCAATTGGGCTTCCATGGTCAACACTCCGATGGTTCCGAATTTCAGTAACAGCACGACTCAAGCAGATATGGTTGCTAATGCTACTGCTATGAAGCTTGCTGCTCTTTCCACCGTCAATAACCGTTTCGCTCTTGATGATGTTCGCAAATACCGTCGCGCCCGTTCAAATGATGGCAATGGTCCTCTTTCACCGGGTCTTCAAAGCAACATGCCAGGCGCAAATGTGGTCATGATCAATGAGCATGGGCAAGTTTTGAGTAGAGATCAAGTTTTGGCTTTACAAGCACACCAACAGAACGTTGGTCTTGCTGGAAGGCGGTCACGCCCAGCATCTCCAGGTCTGCCCGTGCCAGGAAGCGGCTTTGGTCAATTGGGATTTGCGTCACCACAAAATAATGGCTTCCTTGCCGCATACGATGGCGCATCTCCATTGCTGAATAATACTGGAATGGGATCTCTTAATATTGCACACCTCGGTGGCCTAAACGGACACGAGGGTTATACATCCGACCACGGTGATATGTCTCGGGGCAGATCACCACGTGGTAGAAGAGGAAGCTCCAAGCCTCCGGAAGACCCAACAGACCCAAGCCTTCTTCAGGATATTCCCAGTTGGTTAAGAAGCTTGAGACTTCACAAATATACGGAAAATCTCAAAGATATGAACTGGACCGAGTTGGTGGAACTCGATGACAAACAATTAGAGGAGCGAGGTGTGAATGCACTTGGTGCGAGACGAAAAATGTTGAAGGTTTTTGATCAAGTGAAGGGTAAGTCGTTCTCAAAAGCGGTGGTTTCCCAGTACTAACGTCTTCTTAGCAGCCAAGGCAGAAGGGAAGCTTTCCTAGTCATAGCGTTAGCATCAAGCATTTTTGGTTCTAAATGGGGAGAAGTGGTGAAGTCGCCAACGTTGTTACGAGTATCTACTGCTGCTCTGGAAGCAGGTTGTTCATCATGAATTGTCAGGACTATTGAAAAAAGCTCTCTGGTTGGGTATTAAATGAATTTGGAGCCTTGAAAGGTTGCTGGCTGGCTGCGTGCAGGGCGGGCATTGATATGGCCATCATAAGGGGCTTCAGGGGTTATGGGGCCTAAACAGATAACTTTTTTGTTGTAAGAAACCTTTTTTGGACATTCAGGCGGGTGGTTGTTTTTAAAAGAGATGCAGACTTGTAAAATAATTTCCATTTTAAGTAACACCATTTTTGAGTAGATTGTGGGTATGTGAGATGACTTTTATTATTCTGCAGAGTTTGAAGCTGTGAAGTGATTGGGAGGTTGTAGAATCGGACGGTACTACTATCCATACATACCATGCCGCGATATTAATGCCAATTACGAGTACAAGGAGTAGAAGTAGCGAAGACTCGAGTCAAGACTTTGATCTTTGGCTTGTTATAAGTCTGATCTATAGCATCGGAGAAATAGATGTTACTCTGCACAATCAATGACCACGATTGCGCAAGTACCTACCTAGCGAGCCTAGCCCTAGGTACCGAGTATGGTATGTAGATGTGAGCAGGTCTTGGCGGTGTAAAAAGTGCGGGGCAAGGCGTTGCAAGGCTGAGCTTTTCATTGTTGCCTCGCCTCGTCTGTCTATCCAACCTCTTCATTCACCTCTTATCGGCAACCATACCAGTACCTATACCTGTGCCAAAAATCCATCCTTGTAAAGACCAGACTGGAATCTCGGAGCATGCAGTCTCTATCGACTCACCTTGTCTACCAAGATGAGCGAACCTCAGCCCCCTCCTTCTCCGCCGCCGCGCGAAAACGACCAGAACCCTGACGCAGGAAACATGAACCGCGATATTACTGCCAGTACCAAAGGGTCGATTGGAGATGAAAGCGGGAATCGTCGTCCTTCGACAGACACTACCGTGTCGTATACCAGTACGAATACCTACTTTGGCACCCAGAGACAGCCATCATTACCTCGAGCCCAAATACCTCCACAGCATCCCGCGGTACCACAATATTATAACCAATTCGGTAACCAATTTGGCACACCCAGCCCCAGCCCTGCAGTAGCTCAATATCAGGCTGCTCTTCAATACCAAAATCAATATGGTGACCAATTCGGGACATATAAGAAGTCCTCCGCTGCGAGTCAAAGTCGAAGTTCACAAATATCGCGCGTATATGGGTATGCGGGCGGAAGTGGGCAAAGCTCTGTTGGAAATAGCTGGGACAACCACACATACTCAGCAAGCTATCGGAGAGAGTCCGCCTCCGCGATGTCATTGTCTGAGCCAAATCATAGGGAATCAGCTCAGGGAGGTTGGAGTTCGTCCACGCCAGGCCGACTTGGCCAATTCGAAATACCTGTTACCTCTGCGGACGCTAAACAGGAAGCAGCCACGGAACAATCCGATGGAAATCAAGCTGAGCCAATCCGATATGGGGAAACGCCAGATCCAAGAGCATCAGATATTGACCCTCCCGCAGAAAGTTACCCTGAACAGACTCGACCAAATGTTAGCAACTTCAATCAAGACCACCACCATGCACCACAGTACACTCACCAACCCAAATCCCTGCCACAAGAGGGATCTGTGGCAAGCTTTTCCTACTACCCGAGGAGTGTACCCAGTCTAGCGGCAGCTAGAAGTAAGGCTGTGTCAGATCTTTTGTCGACAGAGGACTTTGTTATACGTCTTCCCAGATCGACCCTGAATTCAATAAGCAATAGATTCGAGCCTTCCACAGATTTAGCAGATGAAGATTTTGTAAGGCGCGTTTCTGAAAAGATTCCAGTTCCAGCAATTTCCGGATCCGAGCCTGCCCCGGATTTATTAAGTGAGGATTTTGTGAGACGAGTGCCGGAAAATATTCCACCTTCAGCAGCCACCAGAAACGAGCCTGTAACAGATGTACCTAGTGAGAATTTTGCAGCGCAAGTTCCTAGCACTCAACCCGGCATTGACCCCATTCTGGACTTGGCGATAGCTTTAGCAACTTCTAGAGCCGAAATCGAGATAGATAAATCTGTGTCAAAAGCCAGGAGCAGGGAGAATTCTGTAGAAGAGCCTCCAAAAATCTATTCTGATACACCCTCGGTTCATTCGGACCCAACTATAGCTCTGGCAAATTCTAGAGCTGAATTTGAGACCAGTACTTCGGAGGCGCGAGCAAGGAGTAGGGAGGGCACGGCAGAAGAGCCTTCGAGAAGCCATTCTGCAATGTTGTCAAATCCTGCGAAAGGCGCTTTCAGTCAATCCAAATATTTTTCTCCGGCAAGAAGTAGAGAGCCTGCCAAGGAAATCGCTCAGCACCATTCTGGAAGCCCTCCAGCTCGTGAGAGGGAGAAGGGGGGGTTATCATACAACTCTTCAGACGAGGATACGGATGTTGAAACAGAACTGGAGGGTCACCAAGAAGAGTAAGTTGAATTAGCAAAATTTGGAATCCGTTTTGTTTACTGATGACCTTTTAGTGACGATGTTTCCGATGCCGAGTCTGAGTATGGCGAATTCGACGAGAAAATGCGCAAAATGGGCAGCAATTTTGCACAACTTCAAGAGGAGGTTGGTGACGGATTAGCCCCCGACATAGATCTCGAGGAGAGAGCAGAATCAGATGAGGAATCCAACCATGAAGAAGCCGAGGACGAAACTTCTGATAGTGGAAGCGAGCCCATAGTCGAACCCAAGGCACTCAAACCTCGCAGAAAGGTCCACAGAGGCCCACGCAAAGCAGCTGAGCCAACCGGTGAGATAAAAATGCGTTTGGGCATAGCGAACGATCTTATTTTTGCTCAAAGATTCGAGGAAGCCATGGAAGTTCTTGATGAGATAATTGTAATCAATGCTGAAACCGCTTCAGCCTGGACCAAAAAAGCTGCGATACTTAAGGAATGGGGTCAATTGGAGAACGCTATCAAGAGTCTATTATACGCTGCCCATCTTCGTTATAAGCACCTCGAAGCGTGGTTTCATTGTGTCGATTTTATTGAAGACCATGCTGGCGATCATCGTCCCGAATTTCTCTACCTGCTTCATATCTGCTATTCAAGAGCCTTGCGCGCCGACATCACAAGCGTGAGAGCCCAATTTGGAAAAGCCGACCTGTTTTATGAGGAAAAGAAATATAAACAGGCATTGCCTAGATACACAAAAATTCTACAAAAGTTTAGCCCGCACAATACAAGTGCCCTTCGAAAAATAGCAGACTGTGCTATCGAAATGGGGAAATATGGTGCGGCCATTAAGGCCTACGAGGAGGAGATTGCTTACTTCAGATCGGAACCTGAAGATTCCGAGTTCTTTTTTGACTGGGACGATGCGATGACATACGCTGATCTTTTATCCTTTGGCGAAGACCACGAACGAGCGCTCAAAGAACTTAAATCTCTTTCACGTTGGTTGCTTGGTCGAGGTGCAGAGACATATTGGGATAATGTCACTGAGGATGATGCTGAGTGGGACGATGACGACGACAGAAGAACATACACCCATAATTATGTACCCGGAAAATACGATGAAAACTGCTATGGGCTTGGGCTACCCTTAGGTGTACGAATCTCGCTTGGTATATATCGGTTACGTCTCGGTCCCCGCCATCGAGACGAAGCCTTGGTAATATTCCCATACACGTTTTGAAGTGGAAATCTACTAATTTGATGTATAGTACCATTTCGATTTCCTTAACCTTTCTAATGAGTTTGAGGAGGAGATTCAACCAGCAAATCAATTTTATGCTCGCAAGGTTGGAGACCTGTTCCTCGAATTGAATGATCACCAAAATGCGTTGAAGTACTATGAGTACCTAGTGTCAATATCTGAAGAGCAGAACGCGGCAGACTTGCGTATGGATATGGGGAAATGTTATTACGAACTTGAACGATATGAAGAGGCAATAAACTGTTTCCAAATTGTTGCAGACTTGGACAAGAACGACGAAAATCCTCGACAATATCTAGCGGCGATCTACGCGAAGTCCGGTCAAGAGGAGTTGGCATTCAATATGACTAGTCAGGCAAGAGCGATTATGATGCGAAAAGCTCCTCAAAGAACCCGTCGGAATAATAAGAAGAAAAATGAGCCGAAGGAGCCGAGGAAATACAAACAGAAGAAAGTACGGATTTTCCGCAAAATTCTGTACAACCTCCAACCGAAGCCCGCCAATGGGGAAATACCTTCAATCGATCCCGTTACTGATGCCAATGGAGATGTTATCAACCCTCGGCAGCGGCAGCGGCAGCAGCATCCGCAGCAAAAGCATCGAGGGCGCCGTAAGGACGGATTTGATAATGTTTTTGCTAGTGCTTTTGCGGACTCTATGCGATTGGGAGCACAGTATTCTATATTGGAAAAACAAACTGAAGGTATGAGGGCGGGAGATATCGATTCTACCGAAGCCTGGATGAACGCTGCCAAGCAACTAACGGACGAATTCCGAGCAATGAGGGCATTTTATCCTCTAGACAAAACTTTGAAGTTTGCTGGCTACTACCACCTGAACGAAAGGGTCCGAGGAAACATGCCACTTCATGCCGATCTTACAGAAATTCATAAAATAGAAAAGCGTCTAGCTCAAAGTTTGTCCTCCCTTTTACTTCTACTGAACCATGCTAACTTGCTCTTTAGAAATGAAAATTGATGTCGCAGATCGGGCTAACTTAATTCCTGCCAATCTTCCGCAGGATTTCAAGGGTAGATCATTTGATCAGTGGTTGGATATTTTCATGGAGTATGCCATATGTTTTGCAAAGCAGGACAAACAACGAGACTCATACGAAATATGTACCGCAATGAAAGACTGTGTCGTATGGTATCATTCGAGCACCAGCATATTTCTTGTCCATTTGTGTTGGTCAGGTTAGTTTATTGGTTTGGTCAGCATGAGTGTGTAGCTAACCTTTCTGTGACAAAAGTTTGTGCTGTACTACTGGGAGACGAAGATACCGTAATTAATATGACTCGGTGGTTCATGAAAGAGTTTCAGTTTACTACAGATGCATATCGAATTTTCGCCATCTTTTCTCGCTTGGTCCAAAGCCCGGTGATTTTCTACAACGAATCTGCAAGTCAAAAGTTTTTGCTTCGACAGATTCGAGCAATGGATTACAATCTTGTCAGCGAGAAGGAAAAGAAGAAACGTCATTGGGAGAATCGAGCCTACTTTCACTCCAAGGATGAGAATGGAAATGTCATTAGAAACCACGATCTCGATACCTCTCTCCTCATGACATTTGGTTATGTCCTGAGTACGAGTGGTAGTCAAGTCATCGCTCTAGGTAAGTTCTTTTTTATCAAGCCCATGAAAGCCATATTTACACTACATCCACAGGCTACATCATGCGCGCACACGCTCTCGATCCTGATAATCCCATGATAAACCTCGCCATAGGCCTCGCCTACATCCACCACAACCTCAAGCGCCAATCCGAGAACCGACAGCATGGCTTCATGCAAGGCCTCACATTCATCCGTCGCTATTACGAACATCGCAAGATATCAGATTGTCTCGAGGAACGTCTTGAAGCGCATTACAATATGGGACGGACATATCATTTACTGGGACTTACGCATCTTGCACTTCCGTACTATTGGAAGGTTCTGAACGAGGAGGTAGAAAAATGTAAGGAGGTTGGGGATGGAGAGCGTGAGGAGAGCGGGGATGGATGGAAGGGCGAGAAGGGTCAAGAGGAGCTGTATAAGGAAGTTGCGTATGCGGTCAAGACTATTTATGAGGCGGCTGGGAATATGGAGTTGGCTAGGTCAGTAGTACGGGAGTTTCTGACGCTTTGAGGAGGGTAAAAGGCGTTGCGTTTTCTTAGAGTCGAGGGCGCGAAGCTGTATTTGGGTGGTGGATGTTGTATGATATGTACTGTAGTGCACAATTAAGTAATGCAAGCTGATTGGGGTGGGGTTATTTGCCACGACTGGGCTCATACTACCCAAAGGACCCAAAAGTTCTAGAAAAGATGAATACGCAAGCGACTGCTTTTTTTAGGGTATATCACAACTCATCCTTTGTGTTTACCTTATCACTTTTATTTGCAAAAGGGGTTCAGAGAACCATTTAAGCTTTTCAACAAAATACCAGTCGACGAGTAATCTGACAATCTTCTAGTAAAGGACGAGTTGGCATTATGCACAAATATTCTTATCCGACATAGGATTCTTAGAAATTCACGCTAAACTAGCTAGCTACTACTACTTACTACCTTTGAAGGCTTGATCTTCAGATCAGATTCATGAGAGAAACTTTGAGAAAGGAAATAGGAAGGTTAGAGCCTTCTTGGCCGCTGCTTGAAGCAGGGTAGGTACGGCGTTCTGAATCTACTACTGAACTATCTGAGATGACTTGAATCGCAAATCGGCTATTCCATCCCAGACCCCCTACTCCGTAGAATCGAGTCACGTGAGCTGTAAAGTGTATTCCTTCTTCAGGCCGATGGACTCATGACAAAAGGCTTACATTCATAAAATCTTAGCTTCTTATCATCACACAGCACGTTTAAGTAATTCAAAGTGATAGCGCCCTTCTTGCCTATAAGCAAGGAAGCAAGGAAGTTTGTTATAGCAGATTAAGTATTCACTTCCCCTCACTTATACTATAGATTCTACGCTGTTATTGGTTGAAAAGCTAGGAAGTTATTTATCTGGTCCGCAAGAATTCAGAGAGATAAATCACTTATTCCACCCACCTGTTTCATCCAACAAACCGTCTTGGTTGACAACCTCCTCATGTTTCTCCAGGAAGGGGAGCAGGTGATCCCTTTCACACTGCCGCTTTGGTTCCAGGCTATCCTAGGCGACGATCCTAGTAAAAGCGCTGTACATTTCCTGCGGTCATTATATCGAATGTGCTTGCTCTGATCACCCTTGGAGCATTGGTGCGTAAAATGCGCTACATACCCTCTTGGGCTGTTCTTGGCAGCTTGCTAACAGCCATTGGATCCGGTCTGTTATCCACACTTACACCAGAAGTGACGGCGAGCCAGTGGGTTGGGTATCAAATCCTAACGCATGTCGGACGGAAAAGCAGATTTACGGGTTCTATTAAAACTTACATCGCACTGCGGTGATTTGTGGATTCCAGCCTTATTCGTAGCAAGTTGTCAAGAGTAGACTTTGGATCTGATAAAGATGTAGTAAGCATGCCAAAGTTAATGGTACCCGAGCGGTCATGGTTACTTGTATACTATTCAAAAAGGCAAGCTGATATTACATAAGATCCCAAAGCGTTATTCTCGTGGCACTTGTCTGGCAACATTAGAGTGTGAGATTTAAGCGAGTCTGTCATATCCACACAATCGGTGACGAATCGAGACTCTATACTTTCGAAAAGTATAAGACAGCGCTTTCCTGCCCTCAGTGTAACCTGAAAATTCAATTCTCGACATTCATCTTCCTTGCCTTCTAGCCAACCTCAAATTCTTCAATCCTCTTCCCTCTTCCCAACATGCTTATTTTTACCTCGTCAGTTGTTGCAGCTCTTCTCGGATCTGTCGCCTGCTTCGTCGTTCCCACAAACCTACCAGATGGATTTTATACCGTTTACGAAGGCTCGGACATTCCTATCCGCCAACCCGACATCGAACTCCAAGCGACCGGCGCCAGAGATGTATCAAACCATCCGCGAAACCTGTTCAAACGCTTGGTGGACCCTTTAACTCATTGCGATAACTACGCATTTAATGGTGACAATTACAGTACAGCCCTTCGGGTAAAACCCCCTCAAATCTCAGTTTGCGGTGGTGATATATGTACTAATTACATCTAAACAGAATATGAATTCCTGGTGTAACGACCAAGGGGGAGCACTCGCTGGGAATACATTGAAATTTTTCGTTTCCGGTACCGCTGTTGCTTATGTCTGGTATGTTAAAGTCCCTGCTAGATTACTGAGAAACTACTAATATTCAATTTTAGTAATTATACAGATGGTAGAAACACGTAGGCAATTTCAATGCTCTCTCCTTACAGAAGTTTGATCATCTCATATCCCTAATAATGCTCTAGATGTTTTCATGAGTTCGAACAAGCTAATGATATCATGGACGTCGTCTGTGGTCGGGGCAGACCAGTTAGTGTCCACGTAGCAGCATATGCGAAAACCCTTGGAAGAGCGAATACTGGCGTTGATATCTGCTTTGCGGGTACACATGCAAAGACGATTGAATAGGCATGGACTCATCAATACTGGGTTTGCAGCACTAGGTTTACTGGAATCTCCTGCGCTGTAGGCAGGAGAAGATCTCTGAATAAGAAAGAGAGGGGCTTGTTATAGAACTAAGAAGCGTTAATCTTTCCATCTTTTTTCTCTTTCTTACTTGATCAGAATAGAACATTCATTAAACATGCTTAATTGTCCTAGAACATATCATGCACTCAAAACCAAACAGTGAAAGCATTGAACTATATTGAAACTTTTCATTTCTTAGAGCTAGTCAGGGTAATTAACTAAAGAATTTCTTTCTAAATTAGATTATTTTCTGCGTACTTTTCCCTAGAGACTTCTTAGTTAGTATAAAGAAAAATAGTAGAAGGGTTAAAATATAGGTGGAAAGTAGAATATAGATTATATGTACAATTGTTTGCTACCGGTACTTGACCTCGCCTCGTCCTTACTCTCTCTTCTAGTTTTCTTGGGACCATGACAGTAAGGATGCGGTAATGAGGATATAGCAATAGTGAGGTTACAGGTAGTCAGGGTAGCGAGTTCATACGTCTGACCTTAAGCGAGGTGGGAGTACAGGCATATAGGCACAGTAGGAGTAGTAGGCAGCATTTCTCTTAGTAGAAGATTGTAATGATCATAACTCATTTCAATATATGTAATATGTAATATTGTCCAGCAACATGGATAATCCAGTAAGAGTCAACAAAAAGCCCAAGCCCATTTATCCCATTTATCCCCCAAAACCTCCATCGTTCTCTAACATAACCCAAGAAGCCTGACTTCGTCTACTCGGATGTAGAACCGGCAGCACCAGCTATCCCGCAGATTATATCCCAAGCTTTAGGGTCGAGCTTGCCTTCCTTGCTAAAGCACTTTTCATCACCCGTCTTGTTTGGGTCGTCCCTGAACACGCAATCCGTGCAGGGGTTGGGTCCGAGACCGTTGGTTACGTGTAATGTGCACGCCTCCTTGCTCTTTGTGTTGTTGAAGATAGTCAGGGCGCCGGCGTTGTTCTTGTCAAGGCAGGAGCCGAAAAAGTCCGCAGCAACGCCGCTGCTGAGTGCGCCGAGTGCGAGGACGGAGATGGTAGAGAAACGCATTTTTTTTTGGTTTGAGGTAGTGGGTTGGCTTTTTGAAGTAGAAAGAAATTAGGTGTTTGAGAATTGAAAATGTGTAGAAAAATGATTGCCCAAGCAATTGATTTTCTAAACTTTTTGAGATCTCGAGCTGTTCTTATATAGAAGACGACCGGACGCCTATAATTCGGTAGTTACAAATATAGATAAATTTGCCTACCTACTTCGTCCTAGATGAAATAATTGTGGGCTTTTCTGGGTGGCTAAGACGCGTTCCCGGTGGGTAAGATAAGTGGCAGACTTGGCATGGGGTTTTGGTGTTACAAGTACTGTAGAAGTCCTTCTAGGCGTAACAAACGTCAGAATTTAGTGGAGATTTCACCCTGTATTCCACTAGAATATCCCATGTAAACTTTATTTATTTTTACGTTTGTTACGCCTGGGAGGAAGGAGGTAAGTACGAATGACCTCCTGTCGATCCCGCCACGACTTTAATAGCCTTCAGCCCTGTATACTCACTTGCACACAATGTTTTGTCCCTGGCCGTGGGCGAAGTTTAGACAAGTACGAAGTATGTCTCGCAGGCCTGCACTACAATACTGCTTTTTCCAAGGACTTATGAGGGCAGGTCTTTTGAAGCTATTCAGAACTCTAAGAGTATCGGTGCTTAGTGATTCTAGGAAAAAGTTGTGTAAGCTAGGTAGACAAATAGCCAAGTCTGCCACTTATATTGTCTACCGACAGGCGAGCAACAGGGTAAGAAACCCTTCCCTCCCCCGAAAATCACGCCACTTACGAATCAAATTATTTCGCCTGTGACGAAGTAAAAGAGAGCGGACAGCTCGGATATTCCACCCCGAAAGCGGAGCGAATGAAGGTCGATATACCCGGCAAATTTATACTAGATTTGTGCGGTTATTATGCGTTTTCTAGCTTTTTTGTGCAAAAGAATTGGCCAAACGTAGTAAAAATAACAGAAAACAAGTAACGGTATCTGCGTATAAACCCTACTAGGCCAGACCTACCTACACTTATTCCGCTTTTGGGGTAGATCCTCCGAGCTATCCGCCCTTTTCAGCTAGTTAAATGCTTATTTTTCCCCATATCTGACAGTGCCTTATTCGTCATCTGACATGTTATATATGGATGGAATTCCATACGGTATATCAATTATATTCCATGGAATCGTGTTTCAGGTGCCGAACGCTAAGACTCACCCCCACCCATATCAGCACCCTGATTTCCCTCCCAAGCTGCCGAGGAGATAGACGTTTACTTCTACTCAAAGTTGAGGTTAAGAGTCAGTGCGTCTTCAAGCGCCGTAGAAAGACGCACTGACTATTATAGTACATTCTTATTACCGTAATAGTATTATGAGCACCTTATCTCTAATAACCCGAATAATAACAATGAAACAAAAAAGACGAGAGGGAGAGGTCATAACGTTGAAATTATATAAAGTCGTATCCCTAAAACAAACAAGGCAAGCTCTCTTTGTTAGACAAAAGCATATAAGCCAGAGACTATTCCTTAATTCAATAAATCAAGAAACTTTACCAACTCCTCGTTTCGCTCCTTTGGGCATCACCACACACATGTGACTTAGTAAAGTCAAACAACAATACCAAAACACAACCAGTCCCCCTGAATTACTTGGGAAATGATTGGGAGCTTTGAACTAGAAAAACTCTGTAATGGCGTGAGGGTCAGGTTTTCGTTAGTAGGTTTACTGTGAAAGCCACTTGTACTTCAAGGGTGGTGAAAGGCTTCGTTACTCAGCGAAGCTCAGGATCAAAGGGGTAGTACTCAATGTTTTAAGTTTGATAGACCAAGGACAACCAAAGAAAGTAGACACAGTTCACCAAAGAGAGAATCCGCAACGAGGAATATGCTTTCTACCACCCCTTTTGTACCCTCGCCTCGTGCTTCAACCTCCATCCATTTACATACCACCCCCTCACTCAAAAAGCGATGCAGCAGCTCTCTCTCCCTTCCCCCCCAAACAACACTGTCAAGGGTCCTGCAAATCCCACCACCACATATCATCATCAAACGCGCGTGATTGTCATTTCAATTACCTTCCCACAAGGCCATGTGGTATCAAGAATAGCAATAAAAACGTTAAGGAGAAGGCTGAAAGACAAAAGCCAGAGATGGGTATCATAAAAAATGGCCTCCAAACGCCGCAAGCGAAAAAAGAATGATGTAACCCTTCTTTCTTCCCCCAATCCTCCACAACAAAAATGAAAAAAGATGAAAATGAAAGAAAGTAGAATTCCCTCTGCAAACAAGTACCAACCGAAAAAACCCATCTAGCGTCTTGGCCCCCAAGGTGGGCTTTTATTGGAAGGAGTTCTTCTAGGAGACTGTGATTGTGACGGTGATGGTGATGGAGCACTGGAGTTCCCATTTTTTGATGCAGATTCCAGGCGGTCTTTTGCCCAAGCTGGCAGATTTCGGTTGCTGGAATGACGCACGTTGTTTTGGGTACTTGACTGGGAACGATGGTGTTTCTGGCCGGCTCTTGCAACCGGTGTCTTCAACGACGATACTGGTCTCTTACTCATTGCACGGTACATCGGTGACTAAATGTGATATTAGTGAGTGCTAAGGATGATAAAACTTGCTTAATAATAATTTCAAGCCATCTCTAATAGGCGACTTTCTGGAAGCACTCCCACTGGAACTAGGAGGATCCGGAGAAGCGGGCTGCAGAGGGGTTGACTGAGAAGGAGTAGACTGGGGAGTTTCGTAAGAAGTGTTTTCTTGATGTGGGATGGAATCTCTAGTAGACACGGGGGGCCTTGTCTCATAATTTTGTAGTGCAGCATCGCCAAGTCTATTGTTGTGACCTTGAAAAAGAGTCCCAGAAAGGGCGAGCAGTGCTTTACTACCGTCGATATCGCTTGGGCTTCTTGTATGGGAGATAATCCGAGGCGAGCTCTTGGGCTCCGCCGATTGCGATCGAACACTTGTCGATAACTGGCCCCGTGATACAGTATGCGCATCACTCGACGTCTGTGGGCTTTTCTCAAACGGAATAACTGGAAACTTTGGAAAGTGTGGCTCAATGCATACATTTTGGATGTCTTGGCTTGATTTTGGCGATCTCCCATCTCTACGAGACATGCTGCTAGAACTCATCGTTTGAGTTGACGACGTGCGAGGCAATGTCATCATCTCTGGGTCCTTGGAACGAACGTGTGTATTTCGACCCATGATAGGAGGGAGACCATGCGATTTGTTTGGTGGTTGATTTGAAATGGGTTTCTTTTTCGAGGTTGCCAAGGCCAACTCATCGGACGACGGACTTTCAGCTCGCTGCGTTACATTAGTAGTGTCGCCCTCGATATCCATAGGCATCGGCGTTGGAGATTTGTAACGAGAGTCATGCTGCTCTTTTTGTGGTGGTACTATGCGGCTCTCTTTCTTTGCAGAATATTTTGGGCCCAAGGTTGGCCGCTCTGCTTTTGGACTGCTTCGGGGAACTGCCGGAGCGCTTTCAGCCACTACAAGATTCGAAAAATCATCAGGCTGAGGAGCAGATTCCCCATATCCACCCGTGCCAGCAACCGGAGCTGCTTGGGGCTGATTAGCAGATGATTTATGTTGAAGCTGCTGGGCTTGAGCTTGCGGAACTTGTGGATTCTGTGCAGTCGGTCGACTAGTATGCATGGAAGACGTTTGGTGATTGTAAGGTGGAGCCCGAGGAACTGCTACATGAGAAACTTGGTGAGTTTGTGTGACTGGCCGAACAATTTGTTTATTGGGAAGTGCTTGGCGAGGTCGAGCTTGAGACACAGGTAGGGCAGTTGCCTTACTGATTGAAGTACTAAATTGGGGTTGGTTGTACCGGGCTGTAGATTGTTGAGCGGATAGCTGAAGAGCGTGTGCCTGTCGAGCCTGTTGCTTTGCGGCATAAGCCGCCGGATTAAATCTTTTTAACTGTTCATCACCGAGCATTTCCTTTACCTCCATCATTTCCTCCGCGGTTAACTTGTCCTCGTCATCACGCTCGAAAGTGTCCGTTTGCACAATCGAACGTACGATACCAGCTGTCTTTACGGATGACAAGACTCTATCAAGAACCTTGGTATCCATGCCCCTAAACTCAGAGAGATCCTCCTGAATAGTATTAGTCTGATCCGCAGTGACAACTCAAGTAATAAACTGGGTTTCTTTGAAGAATGAACTTACTTGTGGGACCTCTTTCGGCTCGAACAACAGATCTGATGAATACAACTTAGTGGCGTATGCCATCGGATTCTTCCTGTCAATGACACGCGAGGCAAGTTGTGTTTTGAAGATGGCCTTGTTGTGGACCGCACCTTCAAACGTCCCACCAGCAATAAACCGATACACAAAAGTTTTCTTTACCTGCCCGATTCGATACGCACGGCCTACCGCTTGTTCCTCTTGTACGGGGTTATATTTGAAGTCAAAAATCACGACGCGATTTGCCCCTGGCAGGTTTAACCCTAACCCACCTGCAGTGGTAGATATGAGGTAAAGTTCGGTTTCATCAGTATTGAAACTTTTTGCTTCAGCTTGTCGATTTGCCATCTTGGTTTTCCCATCCAACCGATTGTAGACTCTGCCTTGATCCTTGCAAAGCTGCTCTAGGAAGTTGAGAGTGATTATTGATTGTGAGAATACAAGGACCTTATCATTGACAGCTTTGGAAGCATCAAGAATTTCGCATAGAACCAGAGTCTTGTTTGATAGCTCAATTGCATTGAGGTCGGTCTCATCACTCTGAAATAAACTCATTTCATCGTCAACAAGTTGTTGGGAGACTCCGATTTTCCAAATACTAGCTGTTTGTTTATTGTTAGCCTCGGCACAGGTTCGAATAAAGGAGAAACTTGTTAGAGATCCACATACAATCTTCTGCGTCTTCAACATCGGCACCTTCAGAGGAGTCTGATAAGCCCTTCGTAGAAACGAGCTCCTTTTTGGCATCCTCTTTTCTTTCGTTGAGTTTCGTTTTGAAGCATGCAGGATGGTTGCACAAAAGTTGGAGAACAGATACCCAGCCAAAGACAGTGGACGCCCGGATTTCCCCGTCCTTTGTACGGGCATGACCTGAACCTGATTTCATGGCTTCGACATAGATAGAGTATGCCTTGCGTTGCAATTCTGTTAGAGAAAATGTAATTACAAATTCCTTCTTAGCAGGCAAACTATCCCGGAGAACACCCATTTCTTTTCGATGAACTTTCGGGGCGATGTCCTCCTTCAACACACCGAGCATTTTCAAACTCTTTCTACGTTCGTGTGGAGTGCTGTCTTTCCAGAGACCGTCTTGAATAGGTGTGACATACTTTTGACGAAACTCCTTCACAGGACCGAGGTAATTGGGGCTGATAAATTCGATCATTGCGTGATATTCCTCAATATTGTTCGCCAAAGGGCTTCCTGTAAGAGCGATGCGACTATTCGACCTAAATCGTACGGCGGCCATATTGAGTTTGGACTTTTCGTTCTTAAGCTTGTGGGCCTCATCTGCAATGATGATTTCGGGAAACTCGAGAAGGTATTCGCATAATTGAGTGTGTTCGAGCGATGAACCAACTTGTGTTTTTTCCATGGAATATACGTGGGCACGGAACATTTCGTAACCCATAATCAAGACCCCACCGTTTGAATGCCAATTTCTGATTTCCAGTGCACGTTCATGCGGTATAGTATTGCTGCTAATCTTGACTAGGCCTCCAAGGAGTCCCTCAGGAGCCCAAAGGAGAAATTCATCCATCCAGTTGTCGATCAGGGTAGGAGGACAGAGTACTAGCGTTCGTGATTTCCGAAGTCTTGGAGGGATTTGTGAGACTACGGTAGGGTCGTCGGACATCGCAGCCTCAGCAATCGCAACTAGTAGGGTGATGCTACATATCAATCAGTTCTGAACAGGGGTATGTAAACACGAGATTCGAAGGTTCTTACACCTGCATAGTTTTTCCGAGGCCCATCGTGTGGGCGAGAAGGCACCCCTGTGTAGTTTTTTCATCTCCAACGACTTGGTTAAACATGAATCTTACGCCTTCAACTTGATGCTTTTTAATAAGAGGTGCAATACTGGGGTGGACATAAATGAATCCTTGTTCGTCGGATTTCGCGTCATCTAAGAAACGTGCTGTTAACCTCATATCACACACAAAGTTGGGTGAACGTTAGGCCAGTAAGAATTTGGGGGATGGCTGGAAGGGAAACGAATGCATTTATCGTTAACTTACTGATAATTATTCTACCACTTGCTTCGTCTCGTGCATGTCCCGACATAGCCAGCTTAGCTTGTAGTTGGGCACGGCGTTCAGCTTGCTCCGCCAGTCTTTGGCGATCTTGTTGTCGCATCTCAAGAGCATCCTTGTCCTCAACCAGCTTTTTCTTCTTCTTGCTCGGCGACTCGTCGGCCGTCTTTTCGTCCTCGCTTGTTCTGCGAATATTAGCATGCCATAAAATAAGAATAGAATTAGTGACATACGTGGCAAGAGTTTCTGGCCTACGGCGTCTGATGGCGGAAAGTGGTTCCCCATCCTCCTCATCAACATCACTTGCTGCTTCTGACCTGCCAGATCTATCTTTTTTGCGGCGAGGTCCCTTTTTTCTTTTTTTCGAAGATTCGGTAGATTCTTTGACTGAAACGAGCTGTATTGCCTTTGATGAAGGATCCAAGAGTTCATGGCAAATAGTGCAGAAGGGCGCCAACTGGATATCTTCATGATCTCGAATACTTGCGACGAAGGCGTTTGTCAATGTTGGCGAAAACGGGATGTACTTGCAATCGATGTAAATTTTAAACAGCCACATGACAAGTTTTATGTCAGAGCAGTGCCCTGAAGATGCTTCCATCTCGTGCGCCATTGCGGTTTGAATTTGGTCCACTTTCGTCTCTGAAAGAAAATTTCGAGTTCTTTCTTTTCGATCTTCCCGCATGCGTTGAAGTACCAGTCCCAGAAGCCGTCCGACATCTCCTTCACTTGTTAATTTTGCATACGCATCTTTCAGTGCTTCCGGAATAGTGTTGATGTCGACGTATGCTGCCAGCTCGTTATGTGGCGTTGATGGCTCTGTATCGTCATCAGAGATTTTAATGGGACTGTTGAGTTTTTTGGCTTTTTGCGGTGTGATAAGATCGATATATTTGCTTCTTCCGCCATCATCGGATGAAGTCAATATGGACAAATCAATGAAGTTAGATGGCTTTGCCGATGGAGTTCTAATAAGAGCTGACGGTTCGTCTTTCGAAGGCGTCGAAGGTCTTGTTCGAGGGTTTTGAGCACTTTCAGAACCGTAGCTTGCTGAAGGGGAGACAGCAAGACGGCCGGAACCTTCTGGGCTTCTCCGGGCTACCTTCCAATTGATCTTCGTTGCCGGTGAGACTGATGAGACTGGCAAGACCTGCGCAAGATTTTTGTCAGATGCCACAGATTCATCGTCGGTTGCTTCGCTGTCGGCGAGATCAAGCTGGTGCTCGACGTCTTGTTCTGTCGCCGAATCTTCTTCGATAAAGCTTCCCATATCGTCATCTGAGCTGCGTCCCTCCGATTCAGTATCCAAATCCTCGCCTTCCGTGTCATCGAGCTTAATCGGTAGCTTTTCGGGCGTTTTGGACACACGGAGCGATACAAGCTGTTTGGGCTTATCGGGTGATATTTTGGACTCCAGGAGCTGGATTGTCCATCTCATTACTTCGCAGTTATACACGTCCACCTCCATGATACCTGTCTGCTTCAGCACTTGTTTTATGCTAGTGTAAGTATTCTTGGTAATCTCTTGTCTCATGTTATCAATATGGCGGAGAGAAAAATCGAGTTTGAACTGTGCGGCTGCTACATCTCTTTTCTTCGATTTTTGATTTTTAGACTTCTGCCACATTCTGTAACCCTTGACTTCTAACTTGGGCAATTGGTCTCTCTTCCACACGAGTTGAAGCGCGGAAATGCCTTCATTGATGGCTGAATTGACCTCGTCAGTACTAAGGGCTGGTTTTCTCGACTGTCTGAGAGGTCTCTCCAACTTTTCGCCACGTTCGTTCTCCATTTCTCGCCATGTCTGTTCGTCAACTTCGTTGTCGGAATCAGATTCCCCATACAGGGGCAAAACTTCGTCACCACCTTCCAAATAATTATATTTTTCCAGCATTGATGGATCGAATTTAGGCTGATTTCCGATGCCGCTCAACATGTCAGGACCGGGGAGGTTGAATCTAACAGATCTCTCCTCCCCAAGAATATTCTCAGTTGTCAAAGACATCTTTGGGTTAACTTCTGGCCACGAGGAAGATAATTCTTCGCGACTAGCTGTATACTTTCCCTCCAAGTCTGGCTGAAATAAAGTGAAATGTTGATTCTCGAATTCAGATTTGAAATTCGTGGAATATGGCATGACTGCAGCAAATTCTTTTCCGTCGCGAGTAAAAAATCGAGGCTTAGAGCGGAGGAAATTCTTCATGGCATTGTTGACGTAGAGGCGAAGCCCAGTAGGGAGAGCTCCTTGAACCATAAAAAACTCTTCTCCAATATCGTCACCACTTGGAAGCTCTTTTCCGACAGGAGTACTGGCATAGAAAAGATCGTCAACAGGCATCTTTTGCTTTCCTAGATAGCCCGCAAAGCTTTTTGCAAGGTTATCAGTTGTTCTGCCTTTCAGAGGGACATATGTGGATGGAAGCAATTGTTCACTTTGAGGGGCAGGATCCACTTGGATGTCTTTGTTGGTGATGGACATCTCTGGGCGAGACTCATTGATGGGAATTGGGCGCTTTCTACCAGTACTATCCACAAACATCTGGCCCGGAGCAGGTGTATCTTGTACTGGGACATCCTCAATGACGGGTGCAGGGGTAAGAGCAATGTCATTGGCTGCTTCCGCAACATGTTGTGAATCCAAGGGGGGACTGGCGTGTGGTGTATGAGCAACATCATCAGCACACTCCACAGTATCGTTTGAATTGGAGGTCTGTGTTGTAAGCAGGATAGGTTCCAAACGCTTTCTTTTCTTGCCATTGATCTCGACTATAGCAACAACTCCAGGGGCCACAGAAGTCTTTGGGTCTGCAGTAGCAGCAGGTTCGCGCTCTAGTTCCGGGGCTGGCTCCTCAAATTGCGCTTCAGCATCTCCAGCATTTGATTCATCGCCCAGCTTACGCCGCTTGTTGTCGTCAGGGGTTTCGGATGGTGTGATGTAGCTAGGAGGTTGGCTTAGAAGAGCGAGATTTGGCCATGTATTGATTTGACCATTGGATTGGTGTGCCATCCCATTTGGAGAGTGTATACCGCTGCTCGGATGATACGATGCTATGCTTGGAGCAGTTTCTTTGCCAACAAATGCCTGATATTTGGGACTGCGCTTCCTAAGTTCTTTAATGGCATTGTGTACAAACGCTCTGCGACCAACAACCTTGATATTGAAATCTTTTGTGAGGACCTTATCATTAACATTGACGAGTAGCACACAGCCATCGATCTCCTGTTCTCGAAGATTCTTCTCAAGCTCAGTTGGGTCCAGTCTTGAAGCATGTATAGATGTTTCCCATGACGGCTTGTTGCCGCAGAGTTCCTGAACGACTCGGTCAATCGACCAGTCAAATGGATCATCCGCCATGTCAGTACTGGGCATGGATGCCGCGATGGCACATATTACCGCGGGATTGTCGTGGACGGGTATTTGATCAAGCCAACGTGCTATGAGAGCGCCTCGAACTGCAGGGCGGAAGTTAGTCATGGTTGAAGGGAGTCTTACGTCTCGAAGTTAGGTTTTAGAATAAGACTGAAGGGTTGAAGGGTTGAAGGGTGGGATATTTGAAGGTGAAAGTCAAGTGCAAAGAGTTGGCTGTGGGGAGGCACAACAAAAGATATAAGAAAAAGATGTTGATGGCTTACTTCAAGTTGGACCACCAACAGGCAGTCAGAGTTCGCGGACAAGATGCAAGTCTGGAGAGATGCGGTATTTTGTTTGTAATATTTATTTTTGAGGTGGTGGGAGCTATCTGTCTATAGGGCGTCGGTTGATTAAGGCTGTCGTGAAGTGGACAGGGCCAGAGCTGGTGAATTCTGAACCTTGTATTTGAAAGCGGAGAAGAGAACTTCAAGTATTAGGAGAGCGCAATGAGAATTGAGGTGGGAGATGAGAGATTCGTGAGAAAGAATGCAGGATGAAAGTAGAGGGGGAGATCGGAGGGTTGAAGATCAGAGGTTGAAGATTTGTGTCGTGTCGTGTCGTAGGGGAGATGGTTTGAAGGGCAACAGGGAGAGTTTCCATCTCGTCAGTTGAACAACCTGACGCGGGAGGAAGCGCGTCAATGGTGTCGGCGCGGCTGCAGGTGACTTCGCTTGCCCCACTGTGGCCTTATCGATAAGGAAAGGTGGTGGCCGGGGCTTGGGGGGCTGCAGGTGGAGGTGTGGCCGTGGAGGGGCTCGAGGGGCTCGAGGGGTCATGATGTCTCCCTCGGGCTCCCCACCGGGATGAACGTTCCAGGCTCTTACAAATCCCCTCCAGCAATTTTGGAAAAGTATCTACCACCATTGAATCTCACGTCTCTTACCTCTCTCGGCCCTTTTCGTCTTCTGAATAGCTTCATTTCCTTCTCAAAGAAGCAGACATTCGACAAGATATCGTCGTTCATTGGGTCATCCCTTTTCATCAGTAAAAAATTTCCTTCATCCTCCACTCCCATATCATTCGCATACCACACCTATACAAAGCACACCTACTCATGGCTCCCAGCGGAGCTTCCGACAGCTTGTATCCTCTTGGACTGTCTACGGAAGAATCTGAGCAACTAGTTTCCACTATCAAGGACTGGTCTATTGCTCATGGCCTGGCAGTTCGGCCGCCCCCAACGCTGGTCTTATCTACGGCAGATCCTCATGTGGTTTTGGCAACTACAGTGCCTGTGACTCTATTTCCCAGCCCTTTTCCCAGGACATGTTTCGAGCAAGCCAAGTCCATACAAAGAGCCTACAATCAGTTGTATGCAGCCATTGCACAAGACGAGGATTTCCTTCGTGATATTGTTCAAGAGTACGTGCTCTCACCGAGCCTTTTCCATTCTTTACTTTTCTCATTTCCCCACTCTTTTCAACTCCCATGTACAGATAAAAGCTAGCCGACTGATCATACTAGAATCCTCCAAGTAGACGAGTTTATTGCTGAGCTATGGCAAGTTCATCTGAAAGTAAAGGAAGAAGGATATGTACAGGTATATTCACATTCGAGATACCGGAGTAAATCGTTTCTGATAACATTTATAGAGTCTTTCCTTGGGCCTTTTTAGATCAGACTACATGGTTCATCACAGTACCGAAAATGGACAATCTGGCATCAAGCAGGTCGAGTTCAACACCATTGCGTCCTCCTTTGGCGGCTTGTCATCACAGACATCAAAGTTACACAAGTACGCCCGCCTCAAAAACTATCCCCTTTTCACTTCATTCAAGCACGTGACCAATAAGTGCATGCAGATACCTCTCCTCCGTGGACTACCCTCTTCTCGGAACCCCCTTATCTCCTCAAAGTATAGACCTGCCACCAAATGAAAGCACAAAATCATTGGCAGCTGGGCTTAAAATAGCGTTCGATGCCTACAAGAGAGCCGAAGCTATCCACGATTGTTGTGTAATTTTCGTTGTCCAAGATACCGAAAGAAACATCTTTGACCAAAGACACCTCGAATATGAACTTCAAAAGCAGACTCCCAGTGTTCCCGTATTTCGAGTTCCATACTCGAAAATCCCGAGCCAGACAAGCATAGCCTCTACGCCTCTTCGACAACTGCTTTACACTCCGCCCCACAAGCCCTCAAAAGTTTTCGAGGTAGCAGTTGTCTATTTTCGTGCCGGCTATGGGCCTTCCGATTACCCCGATACCTCTGCCTGGCAAGCTCGTCTTCAAATCGAGAGATCAAATGCAGTCAAATGTCCCAGTATCCTCACACAGCTCGCAGGAGCCAAGAAGGTTCAACAAGTCCTCGCAACACCAACCGAATCTTTTAGTCCTTCAATGCTCTCTCAGTTCATGAAGACTAGCACTCCGGCAGAGATAGAAACCCTTCAAGACACCTTTACAGATATATTCCCTTTGGATGAGTCACCTTCCGGTCTCTCGGCACGAAAGATTGCTCTTGATCCCGAACTTTGCAAGTCCTATGTCCTCAAACCGCAACGCGAAGGGGGTGGTAACAACATTTATCGTTCTGCAATTCCTCCCTTCCTTCAATCACTTCCAGAATCTCATTGGAAGTCTTTTATTCTTATGGAAATCATCACACCTCCACCTGTTCACAACATGATATTGCGACACGGGGTAATTGAGAAAGGAGGTGTTATTTGTGAACTTGGTATTTATGGCACTTGCTTGTGGGACCAAGAGAGTAAGGAGATTCTTCATAATGAAGAAGCAGGATATCTTTTACGTACCAAGGGCGATAAGAGTGAAGAAGGTGGTGTCGCTGCTGGATTTGGGAGTATGGATAGTTGCCGGCTCGTCTAAAAACTCGGAAATACCGTACTTTGGTAGACCATTTGGGTCGAATGGCCAATCTTCAAATTTAAATCTACGGTCCTCTTAGGTTCTGAGAAACCCGACCTAGAATTACAAAGATATAGAATCAAATTTCAACACGTTCATGATTTCCCCACAGAAAGGCTAACAGCTCCATTTCGCTCCACTTTCCTGACCCTTGAAGCAACTCTGTTTTGAGGCAGCTCATACCCTACCAGCTCTTATTTGCTACCACGGACCAGTTTTCAAATTAGTATTCTTTGCATATAATACATTTGAAGTGTTCACAAGTTTCAAATCGCATCTATTATCGTGAGAAGAAACCACTTCGCTCCTCTCTCCACCTTCTTTTCCATAGCGTTTCTGTCATCCAGACACACATACGCTTAATCACGCCTACTACGTTGCGAAGAAAATTCTCTCACTAATAGATAAAAGTACCCGATCGTCATTATCTGGCATCGAATCACTCACATCACATCGCTAAATTGTGATGCAGTTTTGAATGCTCAATGGTTTCGTGTAACCTGTCGTGCCTGCGTCATTTGGCAATCTCGGCCCTTTGAAATAGCACTGGGGTCTACCCACTACAGTGTCTAGTGACAACCCCATTTTGGTACGGACGAGTCACAACTACGCGATCCGCTCTGCTCGCTCGCATCGAAATCTTTAGCACGCCGTTAAAGGTGGTATGGCAATGCTTCGGTGGTGACACACGACATTTCATCTTTGGAGAATTAAAGATTGGTGCATACAGTACCGTCGTACTAAATTACGCCTCCTCAGTGCCTCACCCGTCCTATCCGGGAGTCCAAGCACCGCCCTGTTCTCACTACCAAAATTTGAAAGGCTTGTGATACGCACCCTGTCCATTTGGTATTGCGACTACCAAACGATCTCCGCAGCGCGGTTAAACTCGGCGTACTAATTAAAGCTTGGTTTTAGATCGGTTGAGGTCCGTTGTTACTAGATGGTTATGGTGATATGACGTGGTGTACATGTAGCTTAAAGGGGGTCGCTTAGCTTGGATTGAAGGTACATGCACCCACGCCAGTTGAGTGGTGCATTTGGGTGTTTGAATAAAATTTTGCTTCCTGAGTTCTAAGGGCATCAACTATTCGAGTGCCGGTTTTCCGCAGTAACGATATACAGTATTTACAGACTCTCTAAACCCTGTTATCTTCCTGGAATAGTCGCTAACATTTTCATATACCGCTCGGCTGGCAAACCTCAATACTTGATCATGGCGGGATCAAATGTAATGCATCCACGATATCAAACTTGGAAACTGTCTGCTTGATGGAAGGAGAATATCTATTACATAAACAACCATGATCGAACGAATGAGTCTGAAGTGTCGTTGACTCTTGTTTACAACACTCGCGCATGTGTCGAATGTAGTACACACATGAGGGCGGTATTGGAAACTTGACCAATTCCATTTACTTTTTCCTCGTTGCATTCTCTTGCGCTTAGTACGTTCCTCAGAATGAATCGCATGCTTTCCTGTTTTGGTTTGGTTTAGTCTGTTCTTAAAACCCAAATATTACTTGTATTTTTGGAAGATGATTTCGCACGTGTTTGTATCATACCACTGCCATATGAAACTTGATCTCAGGAAGCTTATCTTCTGTGCTATTACTGATGTTTCTTTTGCACAGCCTGTCTGGAGAGGTGACCACAAAACTATAGGTTTGTGGACTCTGCTTGATGAGTCTGGCACGTGGGAGAAGCGACGTTGTCATCCAAGTGTGCTGCTACCACCAGCGGGGTTTAGAAGATACTTCCCAAGCATACATGCACTGGTCGGGGAAGCGTCTGATGTGGTACCTGTGTAAGGTTTCCCTTCAAAATATGATATTTCTATAGTTCTCTCTTTTGCTTCATCTTTTGATTCGCGATGGTATCAGTTGCCTGTTTTTGTTCATTGGGATTTTGTTCTTCGATCGATGAATACGTATCGCAATCACAAAAGTTCTATATCTATGTACGTGCGGTTGGATTTTTTCATGTATTTGCTTGTTGTCATGGCAGATTGGTGGAATATGAAGTTCTCTTGGGTGAAAAAGACACTACTTTGAATCCTAAGTTTGTTACAAAGAAACAGAAAATATACTAGCGTTGAAACACACTTCCCGGCTATGCAAGCAAGAAAATCCCCGGGCGAGTGTGCCTTCTCCAGTAGGCAGATTTCAATGACCAACCACAAGCGAAGACGGCCGTTCCTTCCTATCCATGGAACATGAGTGCCGGACACCCAGCTTCCCACAATTCCCCGCCGTCTAGGTATGTAGACTTACCACATCTGTTTATTATGTCATTTTCACAATCTAATCAACCGATTGAGTCCGTTCACAATTTACTTCCACCACCAAATAATGAGATCTCCACGTTCCAGTTTTCACCCTACGATCTCCAAAATCAGCGCTCTACATAATTTGTATTTTTGGCACCACTTTGAAATTTATGTCCTTTTTGGATTAACTAGTTATTGTCGTATACAAAAACAAACGTTAAACTTTACCCCTGTTTCCCCTGTGTCACAATGCACTTTTGGTTTGCATGTAAAGAATGTGTTTAATCCCAGTGACGTTACCTGCCCCCAGATATCAACATCACTATCATAAAACACTAAGCGCCGTATTAACACTCTTGCTGGGGCGATGCTTCAATCCACACACCTGTGTTGATTTGTGATGCAGATTTGATTTTCTATGTAACATCCCTGCCCGTTCTTCAGACCATAACAGAGAAACTAGATACATAGTCGTTGGCTACGGAGGTTAGTGTTTAGATCCGCGCAACACTTGTATGCCTTCCCAACATATGTAGTATTTCTGATACACAAACTACGCAACGATTTCATTCTGGATACCATGAACGCATTCTTTTTCTTTCTATCTATCCTAAAGGTTCTTGTTAATTTCCATAGTCATTTTACACCACCCTATCCTAAGACGACTAGAACGCAAAAACGATCTGAGCTGGCTCACTGCTGGCTCCCTTCTTGGTGCAAAGGGTACCAAAATATGACGATCCAATATGACCGCAATTTTGACCTACTCAATTGTTTCCTCATAATTCCTCCTCCCTAGCGTCGTGATTGCCGTTCTCTAGCTCTCTCTGTCAACATACAAATTGAATGAGAATTCCCCATTTGATGCCTGCTCTTCTTCCTCATCCAAAAATCTCGTTTACCATAACTGATATCAACAATACTCTTCAACACAATACTTTATTGAAAATCCAATATCAACCAACATGGATTTGAGACGTATTCTCAACCCTGTCAACAACTCAGGAACCTCCTCGTCCCAAAATCCAACAACACTATCAACCAACATGAATCTCAGAAACATTCTCAACCCTGTCAACAACTCAGGAACCTCAACCCAAAATGCAACAAGACTATCCATCAGGGAGTCCAATCTACAAGCTTTGCGCATGGCAAGGAGGGTCCGTCGTGCCTCCCCATTCTCATTCAGACAAAGACGGAGCTCTCTCTGGGCCAATGGATATCCAACTGCGAGTGATTTGAGGCCAATACGCCCTCCTCCTCTTTCCCTAGCTCACGTGCTAGAGCCCGTCAACATTCAAGTTGCCCAAGTAACAATTCCATTAATCGACCCAAGACGACCACCTCCACTACCAGCTCTTCAGCCTAGGAACTCCATCTTCCAGCGTATACCAAACACCACTATTCAGCGAATAACTCCCGCCCCTTCCATGAGCTCAATGCAGCAAAATAATGTTCCAACTACCCGCAACCCTTTCAGACTTACTATAACGGGAACCAGCGGCTCGCATCCTCAACTTTCAACTCACCCCCAAACGTCAGCTATGGAGGGTCACCGTCGTGGTAGCTCCAATACCAATCCAAACCCATCTGGACCTTCAAGAAACGATAGTCTCAGTGACGCTGCTTCAAATCCACCAACAACTGCAGCTACAACCCAAGTTCAAAATCCAGTCCCAGCACCAGCAAGAGCACCAGCTTCAGTTCCAGCTCCCCTTACGGCAACTGCCAGCACGAACTTGATCCAAAATCACAGGCCAAATTTTCCTTATCCACACCCATCCTTCCAAGACCAAGACATCGTGCTAGGAAGAACTCAAGCACAGTGGAGAGACCACTTAGTCCAAGGCCAAATGGCTGTTCTCGGCCTCCAAAGAGGAGTTCATGAACGAATCCAAACACCCGACGGCTACTTCCCATGGGACAAGACACCAATCACAACACCCAAGCCCGGCCAAAGGCCCAATCTCAACTACGTCCAATACGCATATTTGGCCAGAGTACCTGGACATTGCATGAAGACCAAGATCCTGAGAGAAGAAGTCTTCAATTGGGTTCCTGAACTCAGGACCGACGCAGGAGACCGTTCGGTTTCTCGTAGCCAGTGTATGAACAGAGGGGTTTTTATATCCGTGACGAATAAGGGAGTTAAGTGGACCCGCCTTCGTAAGATTGGCGAACCCATTCAGGAACCGGGTCCGGGTCCAAATAAGAATGGGAAGGCAAAGAAGGCAGAGGGTGAGAAGAGAAAGCATGCTGATGAGGAGGAGGAGGAAGAGGTATCTCCACCACAAGCCAAGAAGCAAAAGAAGACTGGTGGGAAGGCAAAGAATCCAAAGGGCGCAAAGAGAAAGAACACTGATGAGGAGGAAGAGGAGGCAGAGGAGGAAGAGGTTTCCCAACCACAAGCCAAGAAGCAAAAGAAGACTGGTGGGAAGAAGGAAGCTAAAGCACTGCAGAAGAAGGGAAAGAAGAAGATGTAAATACGTTTTGTTGTTGGGTCTTTGTAATTAACTCGAGTCATCGTTTTGTCATTTTTGTTAGTATTGTTTGTATCGTTGTTGGGTCTTTGTAATTAACTCGCGTCGTCGTTTTGTCATTTTTGTTTAGTATCGTTTTGTATCATGAGAAAGTTAGGATAACTCTGTTTGCATAATTGAAAACTGGTTCCAAGATATGCGACTTGTCTTATGAGTGAGGATGATGTGAGAGCTCCCATCCCACTTTCGATGTTCATTGTCAGATACACTGATGTATATTCAAAGTAGTGAACATAGGATTGAAAATTTTCCATCTAAATGACTATGGATCCAGTGCCAGACACAGAGAAGATCGAGGTAATCGAGGTTACAATTCGGTCACGAAGGGACAGTCGAACCAATCAAGGTTGGCATTGTAGTCTGCTTTGCCATAGGATTGCCTACTGTCCACATTGTATTTAATGGCAATTACTTGCAAGGCGATGCCGCTTGAGGCCAAGCAAGCAGCTGGGTTCATTGCAAGCTGTATATTTCCAGTATTTCAAGGGAACAATGATCACTGGGAATATTGGGGTGATCACAAGATTGCGCGAAAAAGTGTAACACAGAAAACAAATTCATCCGACAGAACGCAATGACACTAAAACCGAACACTTGATTCAGTAGCAACTATTCCTGTGAAAACCCGAGGGTACAAAATAGGCTCCTTGAGCTCGCACATATGGATTGACTGCAATAGAGTAGAGTAGCATTGATATTGGTATTCAGTACAAAATACATTCTCCTTTGGACTTTCCTTTTATACAAGCATCTGAAATCAAATATCGTACACTGGTCCTAATTGACGCGTCTTGTATGGCACATCAAGGTATTAGGGAGGTGGGTATTTTGTTGGCTTAGAATCTGGACGAATATTTATTGTTGCTTCTTTGGAGATAGAACCTCGAGTTTTTCTGCGATCTATGGTGAGTAAGATTTGGTGAATTTTGGGCAAAGTCACTTACGTTGAACGATGTTCAAAGAGCTCTTGGTCTTGCCCTCAGCATCTTGATATACGGACATGGAAGCATCGCCCTCGAGATAAACCAAGGTTCTAAAAATCATATCAATTAGCCATGCCCATCAGTCTAGCGCATATGTTTTTTGAAGCTTTGAGCCGCAATAGCGGTTTCACCCTCAAAATGCCAACTCCATTCAATTTCGACGCGTAGAAGAACGTACCCCTTATCCAAACTTGCGATAAAGTCTCTCTGTGGTCCTTCTGGGATGAAACTTGTTACTCTGAACCAGCTCGTCTTTTGGTTGTCTCTTGGTCCGCTGTTGGTTCCAATGGCATACTTGAGGATCTCATTTCCTGTGCTGGTTGCTTGTAGCTCGGGTGTATCTGCTAGGCGACCGATGATGGTCATCTTTGCGAAGGAGGATCTGGATGCGGAGGTTGAGAAGGAGCGGGCGCTAACAGTCAAAGCGCGACGGGCGAGGAAGGACGACATTTTTGGAGGAGTAAGTAGCCGTAGCTGTAGACGCGACTTGAAGAGATTCTGGACTTGCAGAGAGCTGATGTTGAGGGTGCGGGCGTAATGTTGATGATCGCTCGAACTTTTCCTGATCGCGAAGTTGAATTGTGAGAAAGGGGACGGACCACCTCACACCTAACGAGTGCACGTGATATGAACGACCACGAAGAGGCGGGACGAAACACTCATGCTCGCTCCAGCTCGACCTCGCTTGATCTCGCTCAACATACTCTACCGACTCGTACCTACTCTCAAAACTGCCCAGAATTTGATGTTTTATATGGCAACTGTCGCCATCCGATGCCATCCCTTCAATATAACATTCATACTCGGTACCTAGGTATGTGTGGCAAGTGCCACAAAGACTCGGAGAGAACTCGAAAGGCTTGGAGATGGGGAGGGGAGAGCTCCAGCTGCCCCCGCAATTCAAGCATCGGTTTCCAGACTACTCATCCCATCGTCAACCACCACAGTTACGCAGATCGCACCGGAAGTGCGGGCTTTCATGACATGACCCCAATGTCTCTCGCATGTTTTGCGGTGTCGGTTTCGGTCTCGCGAATCGTGGAGAAGATACAACTCACCGCTTGTCAGTGGATGGCGTTGTGTTGCCTTGTGCTTCGGTGTCACCCCTCACCCTCTGCACCCCGCGTCTTTCGGAGTTGTGGTGGTCGTATGGGCACGAATCTCTACGCGAGAACATCCAAGGCGAGGGATTCCGATTGAAGGCACCGCACCAGCAACCCGGCGAGAACAGGAAATGAGCTCATTGCAACCGGTTTTCTTTCTTACATTATCTGGTGCGATGGGACGTTGTCGTGTGATATTCTGGATAATTGCACAACACCTGCCAGATGAGATGAGCAACTCGGAGTCTGCGGCAAAATTGCAACGTCAACATGCCAGCTTGGAAAACTCGAGTTAGCATCATTGCTCAAACATGGTGTTACCAGTACTGTATTACTTGTACAGCAACGGCTTCACCACCACTCCAGACCTTCGTCCTGCGATGGTTTGAATTTACTTCTTCATGACAATCATTGAAGTTTAAAGTACCAAGATCTCTGGAGACATCGTTTTTGTTCTAGCTCCTACGACTCACGAGGAACTCTCTTTTCGCCTTCAGCGATCTATCACTTTCTGAACTGTTGGACGAGACTCATTGGTCGTTGAGTGATAATGATTGTCGGTACCGGTAGTCGGATGCGACCATGTCCACCGGCCGCATTGGGTAATGACCCCTGAGCATATTAAAATTGCACTTTCGAGATCCCCCAGATTTGGTGTGGTGGCTGGGACCTGGCTTGACGTCTGCAAACCTTTCAGGCACTCCCGCGTATCCAACCATGAACCATCCGCCATCCGAATATCGACTACTCGAGTATTATGTCATTCGGGTATCGCTTGTTCATTTCCATGGGCCCATGGTGGCTCATAGCGACCAAGTTACCAAGTGAACTTCCAAAACAACAGACCGAGTCTGATCGACGAATACTGCCCCACCAATGAATAATGCAAACCTAATAATAATCTGGAACAAAGACAAATGGGACCAGAAACTCGTCACAAAAAGCAATCCAAGAACTCGACCAAATTTCCAAACCCATCCCTGATCAATGCATAGTCTTTTTTTGTGGTCATTGGTTAGGCTAATCTGGGGGTGATATCCTTTCCTGCAAGCGCACTGTCACCACCGAAACCCACATCATCGGCCACTCCATCGGATGATGCCAGTCAACTCAGTGCTCACAGGGAGAAGAGGCCGTAAATTCACCTGCCGAGCGCGAGCCAGTTGTCTGGTTCGATGGGGGAACATGTATCTTCTTGGCATGTATTTTCCTCTCTTCGAGTCTTTCTCTGCCACCTCAGGCCTGCACCGCATAAGTTGAAGGTACTTCGTACATGTCCAATGGATATTGCCTCTCCCTTTTGCTAAAACACAAGTGGTCTCCCAATTCTCGTGTTGCAGGCGCCATCTGGTACCAAATGGTCACCTTCTACAAGCTGAAGCCATATGACGAAAAGTAGACACTGAAAGCTGGAGGGGGGAACAGCCTCAATGTTATAAAGTATGATGGTCTTGGCTCAGGCTAGCAGCATAACATAAACACCCCTTCTGCAGATCAAGCCACCCCTGATATGTTGGCTGGATACGGTTTCTCCTTCTGAGGAACACCCTGATAGAGACCCTGCAAGCGCAGAACTGCCGCAAGAATCGTGAATTTGTGACGAACCACACACGGGATTGTGGCCGCCCACGGGACATTCTAATCTCTTTCCGGAGCTTCGCGCTAATAACACCAAATTTGCTATGTAAGTTCCAACATTTCCTCTTGCTTACCTGCGCCATATTGTCCACGTTCTTTGCCTCACTCGCTCCGTCCGGTCATTTGCTACTCCGCACATCTCGAACAAGGTTAATTGACGACAAGGAATCCATAGCTCCGCTCAACTCCACTTGTTCACGATCCGTGTGGAGCTTCACGTTTCTTGCCCGGTGTCGCTTGTGGGTTAATTGCCCAAGCTCAACTGGGATCTCGTCTCACCCGGGTCAGCCAAATAGAACTTTACGCCCTAAGCTTTCGTCTTCCCGCCGCATCTTCTCAACCTCTGTTCATCAATTTCTTCGCTCTCCCCCTTTTTGTTTTTGTTTTTAGCAGGCCTTGCGCCAATGCTACCCACGTTCTTTTAGACTTGAAAACACCAAACTGTCGTTCTCTTCGGAATCTTTACCATTTAAATTTATTCACTCGCTTCGCTACCATCTTCGCCATGTTTTTCGCTAGAGGCTCGTCAATTCTGACAATCATTTTACTCTGCCTCTACATCAACCTTTCAGTTGCAGATCGAAGATTGGATCGAAGGGGTGTACATTATCGAAGGCAGGATGGACCTACACCTCCATCTATCACAGAAGCCCAACCTCCGGCACCAAATTCTCTAACGCCATCGGCCTCTGGCACACCCACAGACACAGACGCGCGCAGCTCAGAGAAGAGTTCTAGCCAAAGTGTAAGGGCAACTACAACGAGCGCGGCGCCAACCAATTCTTCCCCGAACACACTACTAACATCTTCTACGGCAACCTCTGGAACTGCTGTAGCCGATCCAACTTCTTCCGTTAATGATACCATCTATAATTGTGCGTTTTGATTCACTTGATCTATTTGAGCAAAAACTAACCAATGGTAGCAACACTTACACCAAACAAACTCCCCATTGCGCCCAGGATAACCCCGGGCTTTGGTGTGGCTGGTGTCATTTTGATAGCTACTGGTGCTGTTTTAACCGTCGTTGGGATAAAGAACAAACGTCTTCACATATTTCTCTCTGCTGCCTACCTTTCAAGTCTATCCATCGTGGTCCTCATCCTATATGTCATGAATTTACCAGTTAGCGACGCTATTCAGGGCGCCTACGTTGTTGCCGCTACAATAACCGGGCTCATTGTTGGGGGGGCCTCAATCGTCTTCACCGAGATGACTGAGGGCTTAGGTGCTCTTCTGGGTGGTTTTTGCTTGAGTATGTGGCTACTTGTTTTAAAACCAGGTGGACTCTTGACTACGACGACCTCGAAGTCTATATTTATCGGCTCATTTACTGCCGCCGGGTTTTCGACCTCTTTCAGCCAATATACTCGACCTTATGGACTGATAGTAGGCAGTTCTTTCGCTGGCGCAACAGTTCTTGTTCTTGGGATTGACTGTTTTAGCCAAGCAGGCTTGAAGGAATTTTGGGCTTACATCTGGGCTCTGAACGAAAATTTATTCCCTGTCGGTGCTACCTCGTATCCAATGACCAAAGGCATCAAGGTAGAGATTGCAGCCATCGTAGTCCTCTGTATTGTTGGAATTTTGTCGCAGATAAAACTCTGGAAGGTTATTAGGGAGCGCCGTGAGCAGCGAGCTCTCCAACGACTCGCGGATGAGCGCAGTGCGGAGCAGGAAGAGAAGGATGTTGGAAACCGGATCGAAATTCTCAATAATCAAGAAAGAGAGCAGTGGGAGAATGTGTATGGTGATAGGAATCAAACGTCGACGGGCAATTCCCAAAGAGATTCAGGAGTAGGCGATATGGAAAGTCATAGGAAAGGGCCCACCAGTATGGTTACTTCGTCACGACGTTCCGGTGAGGATGAGATTGAACTGTCGGATATGCTATCTCCTACGCAACAGACGCGAGATTCATTCGGCATGACCAACAGAGGCCAAAATGGTAATCAGGTAATGGTTCGTGTTGCGAGGGACCCGAGCCCTGAACCGGAATTTGATGCGAACGGAATTCGAATAGGAACTTTGGGGAGACGAAGAAGTCATGGCTCGATGAGGGATGGGGAATCTACTGATGCTTTTGGCTCGGACAGTGAAGCTCGAACAGAGGGAAGGCCATCTAGGAGAGAGTCTAGGCGCTCATCGAATAATCCGCCAGTTTCAGTCAGAGTTTCCAGAGCACCAGACGTTGTTCCTCTTCCATTCAAAGTGCCGGAAGGCGAGACTGAAGATGACGGATCCTCTGTAGCAACGTTTGCCGACGAAGAACAGGACGGTCGGCGTAAAAGTCGATTTTCCAAGCACATATCGGCTGGGTCCGCCATGATTCGAAGACTCTCGGATAGATCGCTCATGAGCCCTTCCCCGAGGAGCTCAAGGAGATTTTCCGTTAACGATAGTGAGAGTGTGGAAGAGCTAGTCATACCACACGACGTAGACGACGACCGAGCAAGCTCGGTGGCTGCAACTATTGATGGGTTGAGCGACAGTGATGATGAGTTGAGGAGCATCCGTTCTTCCATCAATCAAGCACCAGATACTAGCGAGTCGGCTCAAGTACCCACTGATGTCGCGGGAATCGAGGATGGAAACGTACCAGCCGAAGTTGCGGTTACTAGGGATGGAAGCGCATCAGCCGTTGATGTAAACACTGTGGATGGAAATGCACCAGATCAGAAGGCAACCAATACATTAGAATCAGTGGAAACGTTGGAGGCAGAGGGCAGGGGGGTAGCCCAGATGAAATCCTTGACGGCCAGTACAGACCCAAAGATGGAGCCAGGGGTAGACACCAATGCTGTATCCACCGATATCGAACAAAGCGGAGCGATAACTCCAAAGGCTGCACAATCGGTTGTTTCGACTGTTGATTCCAGGTCAAAGCCACGAAGCCTTACTGCAGCTCAACTTCCGCCTCCACTCTCTAAAGTAATGATGTCGTATCGAACCAATGAATGGGCGAAGCATCTCAGCAGCGCTGAAACTCCAGAAGTTGAGGATCTGAAAATGGATGAACCTGGTGTGGGAGAAGAGCCAAAACAGAAGGAAGTCTCGGTACCTGTGAATGTTGAAGAATTACAACAGACAGCTGAGAATGCCACACCTCCTCCAATGCCTCGCAAGGCATCCAACACGCCAGGAAAATCCAGTAGTTCCAAGCATGTCGCGTCTTCATATGCATCTCTTACAGAGGCTTCGCCTAAGACGTCTTTTCAGGAGGAGAATCCTCGACGCAGCATGAATAGACAACGAACATCGTCGAACCCAGTAAGCCCACATGCGTTACCTACCGAAGGCTACTACTTTCCCACTTCACCGAATGTTCCTTTTGGAAGCACAAATACTCTTATGGGCCAGCGTGAGTCAATGGTCCGTAATAAGAGCCTTTACACCTCACAGGTTTCGCTCCTTCCAAAGGTCCCGCTCCACGCACATTCAAAGGCCCCACCACAAGCCCACGCGAACTTTAGAAACATCTCAGCGCCAGTAGGGAGCGATGCAGGATCAGTCTACAATGGACGTCATAGTATTAGTAACCCGGTTGTAGAGGATGACGACAATATGTCTCTGGCCGCCCGACGGGACCTCATCCGCCAATCTTCACTCGGGCAGATTTCACCCCCCGTTGTAACACTGCCGCGCTCGCCAATTCCTTACGATTCACATCAGCCAAAGCGCCAATCGATGGTTCAATCCCCAGGCGTACGAGAACAGCAAATGGCTTCGTGGCGGGCCAGTGTTCAGCAGGATCTTTCGAGCTCGTATGTTCCGAGACAGAGCATTGAGAGGCAGAGGAACGCGTTGTGGAATGAAAGACAGGCTGATGAGCAGCGAAAAGCGATGGAGGCGAAGATGAGAGGCGAGAGAGATAGCGCGTTTGATGAAAGGATGAGAAGAGGTGATATGCTTGAGGCTCATAGGGATGCTTTAAGGAGGATGCAAGCGAGTGCGAATAAAAACGCTTGAGGGAAGCAAGCAGCGTAATTATGTTCTCACAACGACATTTTCTTTCCTGTAATGTTAGGTTATTGGTTGGGATTATTGGGTGGTGGGTTTTGATGAAACGATTTTTGGGGTCCGTTTGGGACAAAGAGAAGAAATCAGGATTCCTGGGGTTGCTTGGTTGGGCTGGGAAGGTACCGGGTGGATTTTTTTCTGTATATATACCCGGATTGTGAAATGAGACAGATGAATTGAAGCCGCGAGGTTGTAATTGATGAATACAATTTCGTGTAGATATGTTGAATGGTTTGATAGAGTAGAATTGTGGGGTTTCCTAAAGCTATCCGTAGCACGATTGATTATTTGGGTCAAATAGATCAAAGTCATTTTCAATGATTTGCAGACAATGAGCGTAAATTAATCAGCTGGCATCTTCAGCTATTTCGTCCTACTTTTGTAGCTCAATGGACTTGATTGGTGGAGAGGATGGGAACTTCCTTGAAAGTCACGAGAGCTTGTTGGCTGCGAAATCTGAGGTGAGTAACCAACCCTTTCTCAGTTGGTCATTAGTCAAATAACTCCCGATTTTTTTATTCTCACGAAACCGCTATTACAAAGTCTAACTACACGAGCCAGAAGAACTAAACGAGCTTCAGGTTCTTGCGATCGGCTAATCGGCCCATCTCGAGCTTGTGAGCACAAATGCGATGATGGTGGTAACATCCACACCGATACTTGCTTTTTATACAGGGCTTATCAAAAAACGTGCGCCTGATCACGGTGATGCATAGATGTCAACCAATTGTTACACTCCATAGCCTTCTTCAACCACCTCTTCCTCGATTTTCCCCAAGTCTTCCATCGCTTTCAAACTCAAAGACCACTTGATTTCAATTCATTAGTAAGGCATGATCTGAAATGGCATTTCTTAGGATAGTAGGAGCTCACTACTTTCTTAATCACTTATCTGTGGCAGTAGTTGTTGAACCAGTCTATGTGACACAAGTATGACATGTCCCAAACTCCATTGATCGAGATTGGTGGTTTCATGTTTCTCGAGGCTGTAGGGTGACAGGTAGTGAAGAAGTGGGGGAAACAAGCCATTCCGTATCGTGTTGAAAACCATTGTGGCCATTGGCCAAAGATTTGTGGAAGTCAAGTACATGAGACTTCTCGCTTTTCAAACCGAGGCGAACGAGTGGCTTATGTGCCGGTCTCAAATCTTTCAAACCCCGATGCTCAACCTTGAATATTTTCTACCTTTATAGGGACATACTACTCTCATTTTCATGATATCTGGACAAAACGGCCTCAGTAAGAGATCCTGTGTTGCATCAAAGGCGGGGGTGCTGTTGTACCATACGACAATTAGGTATCTTTTTCGTCTTGGCCAGTTTTCTTTTTTCCGACTCGTTTCTATCTTCCAAGAAGTCTACGATTTGGCAATTCAACAACTAATCCCGAGCCAAAGGGTTTACAGTATGGATTCTTTACATATCCCATTTCATACCCCTAAACAACAACAACAAGCCTCGTCGGAGGCCGTTGGGCAACTACTAGATATCTCCCAAGGAACGATTGTGGGCCGCAAGTCCCGAAAAACTATTGTTCTTTGTTTTGACGGAACAGGTGATTTCCCATCACATTCAAATGCTAGTTCAGTGGGGTTGACAGGAACTGTAGGCAATAGCTTCAATGGCGACCCGAGCGATAGTAACATCCTCAAGATTTTTCGAATGCTAGATAGATCAGATGGAGCGGGATATCACTACTACCAGCGTAAGTAAAACCGAAAGCCCCTGAAATCTGGCCCGGTCATTGATATATGAGTTTTCTATAGCTGGTATCGGGACATACGTTACCACGTCATCTCTTAGTTCGACTGGTGCATGGGAGAGATGGAGGGATTGGTATATGCAATACAAAGATGCAGCCATTGGAACCTCATTTGACGAGCATGTTGTTGGAGGTTACAAGTTCTTGATGCAATATTATAGCCCCGTTAGTCCTAGAGGGCATTCTCTCACTTTGCCGAACTGAGCTGACCTATGAAGCACAGGGTGATGATATCTACATGTTTGGATTTAGCCGCGGAAGTTATACGGCTCGTTTTCTGGCGGAAATGTTGGACTGGATGGGCTTGATTACATACGGCAATGAAGAAATGATACAGTTTGCTTGGAGAACCTTTAGTCAATGGAAATCTATGAACAGTCAAGACCCTGAGGCATTGGAGAAACAGAAGAAGGCGTATGATTTTATGGTCTCTTTTCGAGAAACATTCTCGAGGCCAGTTAGAAGAATCGTGAGTCGACCTGGAGTTGACTGATAGGTTCTAAGCTGACTGATTGCATAGCGATATCTAGGACTTTTCGATACAGTCAATAGTGTACGCCGATTTGAACATGCGATGACAAGTAAAGTTCACATGCCCGTAAGTCTAAAAACATTTATATTTCGGGCATGAACTGAAAAGCCAGTACTCTGCTATAAGCTCTGCCAGAGTAATCCGGCATGCGGTAAGGTGTGTAAATCCTTCTCGTTAAGACCAATGACAGACTAATGAAAAACTGATTTAGTATCGATGAACGAAGAGCCAAGTTTAGGGCAGATCTCATCTCCGAAGAAGGTCGGCGGAAAACAGAGACCGATGCTGCTCGAGCGAAACACATCAAAGAGAAGCACTTCCATCACCACCAATGGTCCCATGTCACCAAAAGATTCAAGCCAAAGAAGAGGGCTTCGATTCGTGTGGAGCGATCCAGACCAAAGACCAGAGAACCACGAAGAAGTGCTCGATATCGATCTCATAGTCGCTCACATGCTGTCGCGGTTGCAGAGCGGAGTGTATCCCCTGAAGGTTCACTCGGAATAGTCACAATCGATGATGGGGATGAATCGTCCGATGATGATGAAACGAATCAGGTCATCGATGAGGTTTGGTTTGCAGGTGGCCATGCCGATATTGGAGGTGGATGGGGATTGGCAGAGGGAGAGTATGTAACTTTTCTACCTTTTCATCGCAGTTTCTGAAATCCATATTGATACTGATTTACCGTAGGGTACCACTGAGTCACTTACCCCTGGCATGGATTATGCTAGGTGCAATCAGAAGCGGTCTGAGATTTAACGAAGATAAGATGAAGAAACTCGGCTGTTGGGAATATACCATGGAGGCTGCTGGTAGAAAGGCTTCGATGCCAACAAGTGTTCCCGCGATTGAGGTTTCCAACGCACCTGAAGCGACGGTCGAAAACCCCACTCAACAAGAAATCGATGATAGACTATCCAAAGACATGAAAATCGCAATGCAGACAACTTTTAAAGAACGGATGCAGCGAGCAATTATGGGAAAGTGCCATGATTGTTTGGAGTATGGACAAGGAACGTCACGAATATCTGTTTTTATATGGAGAATGATGGAGTGGTTGCCGTTCCGTAGAATGGATTTGCAAGAAGATGGTAGTTGGAAACCTATTAGATGGTAAGCTAGCGTCAGGTAAAGCATACAGCACAACTAATTATATAGGCCACTTCCTCGAGGAGAGGTGAGGGACATACCATCAAGCTCGAAAATTCATCACTCTGTTATTAAACGAATGCAAGCGGACCCCAATTACAGACCTGGAAATTTGATTATAGGAGGGGGTGGAGTAGGTGTCCGAGTAGCTCCTCCTGAAGCTGGAATTGGTGAAGTAAGTATACCCGACTCCCATTACTTGCAACTTTTTAAAGTATGAAAGCTAATTTCATCATCATAGTGGGTTGTATGTGAGGAAGAGGGAGATGCCATTGGAGAATGCTGGATAAAAGTGGAAAAAACAAAGAAGCCACGTCCAGAAGTAAAGATTTCGTCTGTTGATAAGAAGAATCGAATTGTACCTACATGCATGGTACTATCGACTTTTCTTGTGGTTTTGATTGGATTCTGTTGGCGACGATAATTTCTTGATTTGGTCTGAGCTGTTGGAGCACTTGCCTTTACTGTTTTATGTATGCTTACCTAAAGATTTATATCAGCGATGGAGATATGCTTCGTGAGCTACTAAGGCTATGCTATGTTTGATAACAGTTAGCGAAACTTGAAAGGGAGCTCGGAGCCAGAGTGTTTAATTTGGGCTATTTTCGATATTATAATGGTTTACGTATGTAGATGTGAGGCTTGACGTATAAAGTCTCTTGTGCATGAGAATCCAGTACCAATTAGTAAGAAACCTGGTCATTGCTCTGTAAACGCTATCAAAAGTTAATATACTAAAAGTCTGGTACAACTTGATTAATTATCCTATTTACCCAGGTTAATAAGGACTGAAAAGTATTAATTATTCTAAACTATTCGTATAATTGATTTACTTATATAAAGTCTTTAGGATAATATTTTTATAACTCAGGGGTATATAGAGTAATGCGCGCCTCTCTTATGAGAATTTCTTCCTAAAGCTCGTTTACGAGTAATTTAACGAAGTTACGCGAAAAAGATAAGGGGCTACTAGTAAATTTATAGAATAAGCGAGATCTAAACAGGATAGTATAATTAAGAGAAATGGATTACTATTAAATAAAGATGTTTAAAAAGACTTCTCTAGTTATATACTATTAGTTCTAATAAAGGAGGATAACGAAATAATTTATTTAGATAAAATAGGTAGCTTTAACGTACTTCATAAGGAGTCCGGATTTATAAGCAGTCCGGATTTTTTACCCCACCATTGACCACCCTACACACTTTCAATCTACATAACTTACCCAATTATTGTTCAAATGTCTCGAAAAGAAGGTCAAATTGCTCTTGCAATCAGTGCATACAATAAGGGTCAATTTACAAGCTTAAAAGCAGCTTGTACAAGGTACGATGCGCCATATTCTACTACTTACGACCGCGTCAAGGGAGCTATTCCACAACGCGATTTCCGACCCCGAAACCAGAAACTCACCGACCTCGAGGAATCAGCACTTATACAATGGATGTTATCAATGGAAGCTAGAGGTCTGCCAGTACGGAAAGATTCGATACGCCAAATGGCCGATTTACTACTGGAAAAGCGAACTGGAGTAGGTCGAATTATTGTCGGAAAATGCTGGGTTGACAACTTTATAAAGCGCCACGACTCTTTACGGACGAAATACACTCGTAAATACGACTATAAGCGCGCAAAATGCGAGGATCCTACGATTATCCGAGATTGGTTTCGATTAGTACATAATATTGTTGCGAAATATGGTATACTAGCGGAGGATATATACAATTTCGACGAGACTGGCTTTCAGATGGGAGTAATTGCGACCGCAAAAGTTGTTACAGGGTCAGAATATACAGGACGGGCTATTCATATACAACCAGGGAATCGCGAATGGGTTACAGTTGTCGAATCAATTTGTGCAGATGGATGGGTGTTGCCTCCAATGGTTATATTTGAGGGCAAGGTGCATATATCGACTTGGTATACAGATCAATTACCAGCAGATTGGACAATTGCACTTAGTGATAAAGGGTGGACCAATGATTCCTTAGGTCTTAAGTGGCTTTCAGACGTATTTGAGAAATATACCAAGGACCGTGTAAAAGGAGTATATCGACTTTTAATCCTCGATGGCCATGGTAGTCATTCTACTCCCGAATTCGATCTTTTCTGTTCAGAACATAACATCATAACGCTTTGTATGCCACCGCACTCATCTCATCTTTTACAGCCATTAGATGTTAGTTGCTTTGCAGTTTTAAAGCGACTTTATGGACGAGGAGTCGAGGAGCTAGTACGAGCCGGCACATATCATATCGATAAACCAGACTTCCTTTCAATATATCGTGTAGCCCGTACAAGTACTATGGTCAAAAACACAATCTGTAATGGATTCGCAACTACTGGCCTTGTCCCGTACAACCCAGATCAAGTATTGAGTAAATTACATACTCAATTACATACGCCTACTCCTCCTTTACTTTCTCCAAACCTACTACCTTGGGTCCCTGAGACACCCCATAATACATATGAGGCAGATCAGCAAACCCAGACAATTAAAGCATCTATTAAACGACGTACAAACGTTCTCTCAAGCCCTACTGCTATTGCATTAGATCAATTGGTTAAAGGGTGTAAGATGGCTATGCAATCAGCTACGGTTTTGGCAGAGGAAAATCGACGTTTACGAGCTGAATCTGAACGTCAAAAGAAGAAGAAGACTGTGCGACGTCAATATATTGCTACTGGGGGTGTTCTTACAGGTCAGGAAGGGAGGGAACTTATTCAAAATAGTGATAATATGGTTTTGGATGAAGCTGTGGCCCCGCTAATTGAACCACGAATTCGTGCACCACGAACCTGTAGTATATGTAGATCACTAGCGCATACTGCTCCTAGGTGCCCAGATCGAGAATAAGAAAGATAGTATAGTTTATATAAATAAATATTAAGTGATTAAAGTTCTATGATTTTTAAAAGTTGGATGGTGGGGTAAAAAATCCGGACTGCTTATAAATCCGGACTCCTTATGAAGTACGTTAGTAACTAATTATCAAAGTAGAATAATAAATTTCCCTCTAAAAGATACATTACTCTGTATTTACCAGACTAATAAACAGCTATAAGGGTTCTAACAAGAGTTTTTTCTATACTTTTAATACTCTAATTCATACCCGTCGCTCTTGGCCTGTGCTGCTTTCGGCAGACCCCCAAGCTCAAATCGGCTTTAATTCGGTATTAAGAGCTCTTGTGGAACCTCTATCTTGGCAAAACACTTTACGCCAAAGTCGCGCTTCGCGTTTTCTCCTGCAGCATGCCCCTTCACTATCCACCCAACGGACCGACCGGGCACTCGCATCTCTTCAAGTCCAAGTCCAAACACAACACCATACTATCTCCAACAATAGACGTTCTATAAATTGTCCTTGTTGTTTTCAATAATCTTCTAAAGCCCTCAATCGCCCACTGTCAGTCGCGAAAATGATCCTTAAGCGCAAACGATCCGACAGCGAAATCTCGTGTGGCAGTTCTCTCCTCTCATCGCCCTCAAATCCCAATTCCATGGCGATTGACAACTTTCAATTGAGCCCAAATCGCATCGCAACCCCATCGCTCTTCCCATCTCGTACTCGAAAGCGTCATCGCGACAATCGACCGTCAGAGACAGAAGTTCATCGTAAGCATACCCAACCACCTTCCATCCGCAGCCTCACTAACACCAGGCACCAGAACATACCCTCTCCCTTCTCTTTTCCGCTCAGCAAAACCCTCAATCAACCTTCCAACAATCTACCTCCCACTTCAATTTGCCTGCCGTCGAGTCCCTCCCATCAACCAATCAACCTGCGCAACGATCAAACCTCCATTCCTTTTGGGCCATTCCGGGCGGACCGCGACAAGAATCTCCTGGTAGCAACTTCTCCTCGAGCACAAATACACCTATGACATCGTCTGCCAACAACATGTTCTTCCTTTCTTCCAATTGCGAAGATTGCGATGCCTCACTCAGTACCGAGAACAGCCCGGATGCGATGGATGTCGATATGATGGACAGCGGAAACGGAGAGGATTTCGCTTGCACAGGCTGTAGAAAGATGGTGTGTCATGGCTGCGCAGTCAGTAATTTGGGTGCGGAGAGAAAGTGTTTGATGTGTGCTGGAAAGAAGAAGCAATGGGTTGGTGGCTTGGGATGGGTGGACTCTTATTAAAGAGAGTTGGACATTGGGGTTTTTAAATTGGATTCGTGGTTTTGAATCACTGTTTGAAGGCGTTCTAGCGATAAATACCAGGATTTTACAAAGGGATACAAAGATTTTTAATTGTACAAGAGATAGTTAATTGAAGGCGATAAATAGCCATTCTTTTCATCGTTTTGGGATTTTCAAATGACGGCAGACACAGCTGGCGCGACGCAACTTTGGGCTTGAATGCATTGAGCCTTCAGGCCTGCGCTGGCATTCTCTTCAAGAAGGCCGTAACCGGATTGGTATCGACGGTAGTTCGTAGCTCAGCCGTTATATAGAAGCAAGCAAAGTATGCTCTTGCTATGTCGACCAAATTTATTTATTCTTCCTTTAATCTTCCTCTAATGGTTATTCCTTCTTCCAAGTTACTTATTTGGGCCAGCGGGTTCTTCTTCGCCTTCTCATCCACGTTAGATCTACAAGTTCTCAAAAAATCCTGATGGAGCTTTTATACATTTATATTAAAGTCGGTCACACATTCCACCAAGATGTACTTCGTATCTTACTCGTACCCAACTGCCGAGTTCCTCTCATGAAACCGTCAATTCCCAGGGTGTATTATTTGGGGACGATCGGACGATATACAGTTCATTAACTACGGGAAAGCCTTCTCCAGTAGGAGCGATATCACCATTGTGGGCTTTACAATTTTATTTTCTGTGAAGGCTTCGAGAAACATTCCATGTATAAGAAGGTTACATGAACCCCCCCAACGGGTAGTGTAAGAACCAGTAAATCTGTTTGGGACTTTTTTTAAAGAAAACAATTTGTCTGGTTGAACTTGTGTAGAATAGATGAATTATCTTTCGGAATAAGGTGCCCAAGGCTAGAAATCCCATCATCTCTTTCAACTTCAACGGCCTCTCCTCTACACGTAACTCAATTCTTCCATGTCCATTCCAATTACGTTTAATTTGTCTTGCATCTACAGGCAGCATCAGAGAGACCTCTTTGTCGGGTGCATTCTCCCGAGACTATAACATTCTAGAGTAGGAAAGTACTATGTCAGTCCCATATCTCAAAAGCAAAGAAAGATGAGGACGAGAATTGGGCACTCACAGGGCTGCACCAGTCAGTGCAAGTTACGTTGTTGCAGTCTGTCGATTGAGCGACGACCATGTTGGTAGCGGCGAGAACCAAGGCGAAAAGGATGGTGAAGGTCTTCATGGTGAGTGGAATCGAGAGGTTGTGGCTGGTTTGTGATGAAATGGATTGGATAGAAAGGATGAGTGGGAAGAAAAGGAAGATGGGCTTCGATCGGGGTTCTTTTATATGTATTGGTCAGTATCCCAAGACTAGACACGCCTTGAATTTGTTTGGCATTTTTGGCAACTTGCTTGACCAAGGCCTTCGTTCATTATGCGACTGGCAGAGGAGCTTGAAATCTGGGTGTCGAGGGTGTCTGGTACCACACCGCAATTTGACCTCTTTTTACTAAAACTATATATACTAGTCCCCATTTATTTTCTAGCTAATTAGCCTTCATTTGCTGTTATATTATATATCCCTATCTTACAGAGTGGAAACAGGACAGACTACCTAACGAGTACATGAGTAGAAGCGTGCACACAATATTATGTAAGCAGTAGTACGAGGCAATTCTACGACATATAAATTACTACAATTTTAAGCTACTTATCAATCTACGTAGCCTTATATAACAAGCTAAATTAGACGGCATACCGTACATAATGATGTTGAAACTGCCATTCGTAAACTTTTGTATAAGAGCTGTATACTTCTGTCCCCTATGCCTAAGAAAAGGTCGTCATTATACAAAAGCAGTGATTATCACCAATGTATGTCACGTGAATCATCCCAGCCGAGGTGCTTGTACAAACAGAAACAATACCAGGCTTTCTTTGGTCATCTGCAATAGAAAATAACAATCATAGTTGCTTTGCCAAGGTTGACAACAAACCCAGTGTAAGGTAACAATGTTATACCTGATGGTTGTGGAGTATGGGAGATTAATGGTAGGACCTTCTGCTTTTTTACCTCAGAGGAAGTATACCAGAAACGAGGACTTAGCTACCCAGCCCATGGTTCTCACTTCTTGCTTCGCCTTGGTTCTGAAAATATATCGAATCATCCGCAGGAATTGCTGCGGCAGTATTATCATAGCAAAGATGCGGCTTGGTTCAAGAAAGATCGAAACTTGCAACTTTTTCTCCTGTATTATATATACTTGCGACGTAGCCTTGAATTCCACTAACTTGATGTTATTCTTTATGCTTTTCGAATCGACTTAAGCATGAAATTCACTTCTGGAAAATAATAATTGACAGGCCTGCTTATCATTGTGGAAAGATAATTGTATTCCTATCTCTCTTATGAGAGATCCTAATGCAGCTAGTAGAGAAAGATAGAAATAAAATAAAAAGATGAATTACATGATGTCCCTCTGTCTCAAAGCTCAAGACCTCAAGTGCGCATTACCGACTTACTCCTCGCCACTAGTAGGTTCGCCTGTCTGTATCTCTCAAACTACCTCGGTGCTTGTGGGGTCGACCTACAATGTAGCTTCTTCGTCCTTGGTAGCATCAGCGACTGGAAGACCTTCGGTCTCGTCCTCAGAAACTTCCTTCTTTAATTTTCGGCCATTCTCATCAACAACATCAGCAAACTGCTCTCGGTCACTCCCCTCAGCCATCTTCAACACAGCCCGTCTGGTACTGTACCATCCTATGACCTTGATTCCAATCGTAACATCTTCCTTCTTCGGATATAAAGGCTCTCGACTATCTGGTGGCAACTTCTGAAAGGGCCCCAGATATTGTAAGCATTCATCCAAAGATCTATCGTCTCCCAATTTATCCTGCTCGCCGCAAAACTCAAATCGTTGTCGATATCGCTTAACCGCTGTATCTCCATGGCGCATGGTGGATCTAGTAGCATCTGTCGCGTCGTCAAACAATGGAGTCAATAAAGCCAGGTCAGCCATTTCGGCATGCGTTATAGGCTTCTCGAAAGCTTTTCGGATATTAGGTATGGGATCGTGAAAGTTTCGGAGGACAATATCCAGTGTTCTCAGAGCAGGATAAGGACCGAGTGGATCTATATCATCGTGGGCTTTTATCGGCGCTTGTATAGCAAGTCTTTGGACTTGCATCCGCTCTTCTTCGCAACACCAATGGTTGAAGCGCGGAGCCAAAATTCTGGTATCGCCGGAATGAATGTAAAGGATATCTCTTTTAAAATCAAAATAGATATGACCATTGTTAGGGTCGTGGTCCAGCCCAAAAGCTAATTTGTATCGCTTCTGTGCGAACTCTCGAGATTCTCGATGAACATGAAGCACGGTAGGGACCGGTGCGGTAGTTCCGATATGGATATGTAAAGGACCCTTTCCTCCTGGTACATTGGAGGAATGTCGTTTACCGCCAATAATAGAAAAAACAGGAACAACACGTGGCTTCATAGCAATCTCCCAAATAGTCATTCTCAGCTCAAGGGGTAGTTTGCAGAAAAGGTGGAAAGCCGTCGCCTGGTTTGATTGCTGTATTTGACATGGCTGGCGGCGTAGGTGCTCGAAATAAGGGATTGTGTTCTTCGTCGAAAATCTTCGCAAATTCTGCATCTTTCTCCTCGTATCCCAGGAAGTTCGAGTATAATGGGTGAAACGTAGGTGGGGGAGTTCCGAATGTCGCCCAGTGATATTTATCGAACGGCTTGAGTTGGCGAGGTCTGCCAATATCATTCTTCGTGTTGGTGATCTTACGACTCAAACTTCGATTCTGCGTAACTCTTGGTCTCTTGACGGAAGATGGACCCTCATCATCGGAGGTGTAGATTACTTCTGTGTTAGTTCGTTTGCGCTTGGTCGCTCTATGGTAGGTGGATTGTGACTCTACTTGTCCGGATTGGTTTTCCTCAGGCAATTCCTTTTGCTCTTTTGGTTGTGTTATCTTGCCTGGCGAGACGCTGAGACTTTTCGCACCCGTAATTGGTGTTGACAGAGAGGATGTCTTTTGCTTCTTAGAATCGGGTTGTTCACCAGGATACAATTGACTCCGAAGAGTGCCAGGAGTAATCCAATCTCGTTTCTTTCTCTTGCCTTTCGTGAAGGGTGTGGTTTCTGCACTATCCATGCTGGGATCAGCTGGCTTTGCAGTGTTGGGGCTGGAGTGGCCTGTCATCTTGAATCAGTTTCTGAGTATGATGGTTGGCATTATGGTAAAGGTTGACAAACCTGATTTGGACTGACCTGGCATTTTAGATGAAGTGCAAGTTGTCATACACATAAAAGACCTCTTTGATAGAATCAAAGATGCCTTTGATGGCGCGATAATCCTGGTCAGATTTTGATGGTCCGCGCGATGGTGGGATTCTAAAAGTCTTCTATGTAGATTGCTTCCAAAGTTGGAGGTTGGGGATTGGAGGAAGACAGTCGGTCTGAGGTGTATCCTAGTCTAGCTCAAGCCTTAGCTACGCTTGACTGGGATTAAGCTCACAAGGCATACAAATTGTTGGTGAATAAAAATATTTGGTGAAGGTGAAGGTTGCTCAGATGTTGGGAGCAGCTAACGCCTGGTGAATCTGTCTGATGCGCCAAATAATAGATAGAAGAACCTGTCGCTATACAATTTGAGTGAAATATACTCGATGGTAAGCAATAGCACGTGCTAGCTAGCTACTCTTGATTGAGCGGAGCAGGGTGGTAAACTTGAGTAGGTGAGTTGAGTAGTGGCACCCCCTCAACTCAACTCGCCAAGTATTCCAGTGACTCAAATACTATTGGAATGGTACGGAGCCCGTCGGCCCGAGCCCCGGTAGCGCGCCCGGGTACCCCGGCTGCACTCTATACGGTCGGTCCACGCACTCGGACTTAGCGATCACCACAATAGTATTACTGAGTAAGTACTTTAGAGTAGGATATCCCGCCTTTTGAGTAGTAAACGCTAGCCCATAATAGTACTGTCAGCTATTACAACTTTTAGCTATAGTAATTAATAATAGGAATAGTACCTAGTATCCTAAAAGGCTGTGAGGAACTAGGTAACCTATCTCAGTCCTCCAGTATGACTATAAGAGGCCAAAATAAACTAATCAGTATATGACAAAAGAAAAGTGAAAGTAATAGAATGATGTATATGTTTTTTTTGGAAAAGAAAAGCCATTAGGTGAAGGGTGGCTCTGAGAAAACTAACATCTCTTTATCCTCCCCCCACCGCATTTCCAGTAGTAATTAAAGTAATATTAGAATAAACTAATGAACATTTTTCTTTGGCATAGCAAGAACAGTAGCAAAAACAAAAGTATGGCAAAGAAAGTAGATTGCCAAGCAGATGATACTCAGCAGAGCACAAGAAAACGAGATTTGATGAGTATTGTTACTGGAATACTGGCATAAACAAGGGTTCCTCATTACTCTTCAAGTACGCTTTTCTCATCCCTTACGTTATCATGACTTCATCAACTATTCTTTGTTAGTTTCTGTATCCAGTTTATCTTGCATCGACTTTTCACTCTTTGGGAGAAACACCAGATCTTGCAGCTAGCTGAATCTGAAATGGAAGTTCACTGCTATGTGGTAGAATAACCTCTTCAGATGGGCCACCAGCATGCAGCAAGGGTAAATTTGAGATTCTGTCTTGACTGATGGTGCCTCTTAACGGTGGAAGTGATTCGTCATCGTCATCCAAGATTCCTAGCGTTATCAAGGATTCAGGAGTAAGATCTTATGCTTATGCTCATCTGTCTTTGTATTCCTACTGAAATATTGGGCATTGAGTTATACTTTCATCACAAAGTTGCTCTAACAGGTTCAGAGGTAATACTGACCACAGGAAGGAAAGAAGGAGCTCCTAAAAATAGACAGGGATGTTTTTGGAGCCCTTTACGGAACAACATTTCCGCATGCTATCATGGGCTGTACTGCTGGTAAAACTTGGGATCTTATCATAAATGGCCATAATAGTTATGTTGGTCAAGGATTTCTACCGAGCTTCCTGGGTACAAGCTTTTTGGATAATGATTGGCACGAGGGCAATGTGCATTTAGTTTGTGTAGATTAATCAGATACCGACAATATGTCTCAGCAAATACTTTGTGCGTATAGTGGGGTTTCCGACTATCATCGAGGGTATAGATACCCTCACTACAAGCAACATTTTATCTTGTGTATGTTATCAGTACTTTATTTGAGATGTTTGGTTGCAAAATGTTTCTCAAAATATTTATCATCACAAGGCTTCTGGCTCAGAGCATCTGGGCTGCTCAGACGGTTTTGCGATTTGGATGTTCACAAATTGTTGTTGAACGCCTTGACCCGTGAGTGTCTCAATCCAAAGTGAAAGGCTTGACGCTGATTGCTAGATGTAGACTAGTAAATCCCGGAACGAACCATTCTCCACATGTTCATCAGGTATGTGGATTAGGGTTGTCGAATCTAAATTTAGATTTACTAAATCTAATTTATAAACCCGTAAATTAGCCTAATTTATTTTTTGGCATCTAATTTATAATCTTAGTATAGTTTTAGTAGTATAAATATAGATAGAATTTACTAGAAAGACTACTGAAAATATATATAGAAGAGTACTTAATTTATAGAATTATTAATAAAGGGGGTGGACAGTTAATGCTGGACACTGTTACGTAGATCATATGTGAAAAAAGTCTATATCTTGTAAATCCGAGTCTTTAATTGGCTGGTTTAGCTAAAAGGCGCGGCGGAGACGTACTATGATTAGCGATAGTGTCTAGCATTAACTGTCCACCCCCTTTACTAAACCTCTTCTTTGTTAATCTTAATATTACTTATACCCTTATTAGATTTATTGTCTTCTTCTTCTATTTGTATAAGTACTCTCCTAAGTTTAATAAGTCTTTCGTCTATAAAGGTTAACGATACTAGGAATTTAGTATTACAGCGCCGCCGGATATTAGGATATTCCGCCCCGAGATCACATTTCAGGTCATGTGACGCATATAATTAGAATCTAATTTATTATTGCCTAAACGCCTAATTTACTAATTATTTCTAATTTATATAAATTAGACCTAAATGCCCAACGCTAATGTGGATATGACCCAAAGACTCAACACTCTCTTGGCAAACTGGCAGCACACTGACCATATCTCTTAGGTAACTGGAGGAGTGAGTTGCAAACCACACCTCTCAAATATCCGACTAGATTACTGATGTACGGCAGAATGCTTTTAGCGCTAGTGTCGCAAGCTCCGATGTCTTCAAAATTGCCAACTGCACCACTTGTAGTTTTAGCGAGGATCTGTCCAACTACTGGAATGCAAATCTCTACTTCAAAGCGCGTAACGGAACATACAAGCGTGTTCCTCAAGTTCCAAATCGTGGACTCACAGGGGAAGTCGGCGGTATGACAGTATACTACACTTCGCCATATGATGGCTCCAAAGTGACCGCTTTCAAGCCGGTATGACTCCCCTACGTCAACCTCAACTCTCAATCCCAACCATCAAATTAACACTATCAGGGCTTCCAAATGCTCGCCGGTCACGCAGAACAGAGAGTACCTGGTGGGGTTACGCAGTGGAATGCTATCTGTTTCCGGTGTTACAATGCTAAGAATTTTGGGGGAGAGAACCAGGCACCTTGTTCAGATAAAACTGTTGACTCGGTTAGCTTGTCGACGAAAGCTTGTCCCGGTGGCATCTGTACAAATATCAGATTTCCGACGTAAGAGATGAGCTCCTGTATCTGGAGCTTCGGAAGCTAAAGGCACATTTCTACGCAGATGCTGGGATGGTGTTAATTGGGATAGCGCTGATCACTTGTCTCATGTCTCATATCCTGCTTCGAAAGCTTCTGAGGACAAGTAAGTCAGATCATTTTAATCGTTTGAACAATTCAGGAGACATCCACGAGATTTATGTTGGCGCCACTAATTACGAGCTGAAAACCACATAGTGGACCATGTCCGTCCACACATCCAGTCAAGCTCCCGCAATTGATGTTCGAAGTAATCTGGGACACGACCTCCTTTAATGATAAATCCTTGTGGCCAACCGATGGCTCTCAACCCTTCGTATTTAGTATGGGAGACAAGTAGAAACACCATTCATTGGACTTTCTTTGTCATACTCGTCCCACTGACACAATATCTCAGTACCGGCTACGGTCAACATGGGGATTACATCTTCGGCTGGAAAGATAACGTGTTGCAGAAAGCCATGGAAGTCGGTTGTTTTGGGGCTTCATGTAGCGCATTGAAGACACAAAGCTTTAGCGATGCCAACAAATGTGCTGTCCCAGACGAGGTCAAGGAACCTATAGATGGATGTAAGTGACCGCGAAGGATTTGTCGTGTGCGAAGAACTAATGGTATTATCTTTCAGGGATCAGTACCCTGCCTGGAATGTCCATGTAGAGTGATGAGTGGTGGATTTTTGAAGGGAGAGGGCGTGTATCATGATGTGGTGTCTCTTTCGATTGGCGAGTTTCTATTAATATAACAAGGAGCGAAAAGATAATCAGAGACCACCCTTTTTTTCTGGGTTTCAAATACAACTTATAGCGATGTTTTCGACCAATTTCCAAGTTTGGCTTACAAGAAAACAGCGTGACTTTGTGCTACCGTGGTGACATATGGTTACTGCAAGCCCGCGAGCACAGCAAACGTATCTCCATAAAATGTCCATGAAGATCCAATATAGGAAGTTGTTCAGTGTTTTTCATTTTTATTTTATTTTTTTGAAAACAGTTTCAGGTCGTGAGAAGAAAACTCGCTAAATTCAGTATTAACTCCGAACCGAGGTGGGTCCTTATGTCCGATTTAATAATCTTACAGTAAGCAATACAGGTGATCTGAACTGCTCGCCTTCCACCTTTCGAAGTAACAACCAACATTCTCTAACATCTTCCAACAACATGTGTATCTTGCGGCTGTATTATTATGCGTGAGGAATATTCTTTCAAAGTGATATTGTAGCAAGACTCATTCAATATCACGACTCCATCGAAATGGCCAGTCGACTTCGAAGCAAACAGGGATGCTGGACGTGTCGACTTCGGAAGAAGAAATGTGATGAGAGACATCCCATATGTTCTACCTGTGAATCCCTAACTATCACATGTCATGGCTACGATTCGAAACCAGATTGGATGGATGGCGGGGAGAACGAGAGGGCGATGGCAAATAGCATCAAGCAGACCATCAAGCAAACTTCTAGGAGCAGGGCTTCTGGAAAGATTGGAAGTCTGACCTCACGCTTTCAGAGGCATATAATCCAGCAAACTCAATCTATACGGCCGGCTTTGGCACCCAGAGCAGTTGTCGACTTTGAGGGACAGCCTTCACCAGCCTCATCCATCGGCCCTGGGTCTCATCAGGACACTGATACTATGTCCAACGTAGAAGGCTTTAAGGTGAGGGAAGGCAGCTCCGTAAGTCATCATCCTCCATGATTATCAGGGGACTAATTAGAAGTAGGAAAATGAAGTGAAGGCCCGGGATCCTCGTATTCAACGCGTTCCGCTGTCTACGGTCTCAGCCGACGAATCAATTCTACTAATGCATTTTCTTGATGTTGTGTTTTACATACAGTATCCTATGTACAAATCTTCAGTTCACGAGGGTGGTCGTGGCTGGCTGCTTTCTCTTCTCCTGCATACAAGGCCGTTGTACCACGCAGCTTTGGCTTTGAGTGCTTACCATAGAGGAACTATTCTTCTAGCCTCCAGACGCAATGCAAACCATGCAGATGTATTGGTCGAGCAAGAAAAGCACTTAGCCGCTTGTCTTTCGAATTTTCAGAGGCATATCAAACACGTTCACCAATTTGTCGAAGACAGAAACCCGGGAGAATGTCTGGGCGTTTTGGCTTGCGTGGTGCAATTGATATTTTTTGAGGTAAGCATCTGGTGTTACAATATACCGCTCTCCTCTGAAATCATGCTAACCCAGGACCAAAGATATTTATAAACCAAAGCGACTCATGGCAAGTGCATCTACGGGCCGCGACCGGCTTCGTTAGCGAAGCTTATTCAGATAATTTGCATTTGGGCACTGCACAGAACCCGTTGGCAATGGATGTGTATAGCAAACCACCACTTCAGCCATGTCACGATGTCCCAACTCCACAAGAGGTTGTGATATTCCGTTTTTTCGGTGGAGTTGTTTTCTGGCTAGATGTTGTATCCTGCATCACAACAGGAAAATCTCCTCAGATACTTGCCTTATCTACCACCGAACCTCCCAGCAGTGCTTTTAATGAATTGCAAGCCATCATGGGATGTAAGAATTGGGTTATGTTTCAAATTGGTCACATTGCTTCCATTCATGCAAGAAGAACGGCAGCCTTCATGACAGATTATTCAGAGAGCGACGAAGAAATGAGGTTAGAGGCGGGCAGCATTCTAGCAAAACTTGAACTCGGAACTACTGAATTGGGGGCTATGTCGTGTGGTACGCTCAACGGCACAGACCAGACCAACGAGCAACTATTATCGCCCTATTGTACCGCGATAACTACTACAATACAGATTACCCGACTGTTTTCTTTTATGGGGCTGATATATCTGAAGTGGGTACTCATTGGTTTCCATCCAGAATCGGAATGTATGACGTACATTACAAACGCTATGGACGCTCTGAAACATGATACTCCTAGGCATATTTTACCAGCAGTTATTAGCCCTCTATATGTGATCGGATGTGCAGCAAGGGAGGAAGATAAACCGTTCTTTAGAGATGTGCTCTCTTCCGCACCATTAATCGATCCTTCGCTTGTTCATCGAGGAAAGATCTTGCCACTATTGGAGAAGATTTGGATATTGAGGGATAACTCACCCAATGGAGTATCTTGGTCGGAAATACTACAGCAATCAGATGGAAGCCTGTTGCTGTTTTAGGAACCAACTCGAACAAGGCCGCTCGGCTCAAACTCACAGCTTCGCTTTCTTTTGTTCTCCTAGAGAATTACGGTTATACACAACGCTTATGGGAATTTTTCACGACCCTTCAATACCTCTTGTGGACATTTCCGTCGTGGACAAGCCCCCATATTGAGTTTCATAAGATCCAGCGTAGTCCGCCAATCAAAATGCACCTTTGACCAGCTTGCAGTGACAAATCACAAAATTCCAAATGTAACCACAAGGATGCCAGTTAACCCCGCGGTCAGCCTGATCGCTCTGCCTCGCTCAAAGACACCTCACCTCTGTGTATTTAAGAAACCGTCGCTGTCCTTGGAAAGTTTGTTCCCTGTTCACGAAACGTCGCCCACAATATCGCTTGGGCTGTTCGAGCCCCAGACGGCCAGCCAGCTTTGCGAACAATTATGATACCTACCTGCACAGCCTTTTCGCGATTTCCAGAACGATGTCCTTTGGTTTTTCAGTCGGCGATTTCGTCGTTCTCACGCAACTTGCACAAAACGCAATACACAATGCCCAAAAAGCCTGCGGTGCTCACGACGAGCTAGTGCGAGAAGTCAAGAGTCTTCACATAGTCCTCCGCCGCACCGAGGCAGAGGTCTCGCACCCAAACTCAATTCTCAATCGGGAGGATGACGACCGTCGAGCCGAACTCGGTAGCCTTGCAAGTCACTGCAAAAAAGTACTAAAAGTGCTCTGCATGGTATTGAAAAAGTACAATGCGCTTTCCAAAAAAAAAAAGCGTCACCAAACTTTGGAAACAAATCAAATTTGGGAACGGGAAATGCAGGACTTGGATCACATCAGATCTGAACTTGTTACGCATACGCAAGCATTCACCATTTTTCTGAACTTGCTCTCGATTGGGTCACAGGGGAAGGTAGAGGAGTTTATGGGATCACAAGGGAAAGAATTACGAGATATCAAATTATCTATGAACTGGGTCACAGCTTCTTCGATATCCCGCCGCCACGAACAGTCTATATTGACGACATACGCTGAAGACGACAAGGAAACATGGAAATGTTTCCGAAGAGAACTTATCAAGGAGGGCTTCACACACACATCTCTAAAAGGGAACATGGAAATCATTAAGCAGTTTGTCACGGAATTAGGAGAGAGGGGAGCATTGGATGGCCTGGCACCAGAACATGACTTCGCCAATTCTAGGATCCCGTCCATTCCAAGAGGAAAAACAAGAGGAAAGACAAGTGGAAAGACAAAAGGAAAGACTTTAGTAGACAATTCTACTGTCAAGCGTCCTTTCCAGCTTGGCTAGGTTTCCAAGCCGAATGGTGTTTTGGCCAGCACCGATGGTGAAGTTCAACTCTATAGTGTTCTTGCCGGAAAGAGCGCCATCCAGCAACATGTCCCAGGGACATGGAAACAGAAGCAAGCAACCACACATGCTGTGAGAAGGATTGACCCTCTGATACAAGGTAAAACTACAAGGGGTGCTGCATCGATGGCTGCCCTGGGATCTTGCGCAGGCTCCAATGATATATTGCTACGGGACTTTGAGTTTTTACTTGGCGAGTTTAGCGAACATATGCCTCTCACGAAAAATATTCGAAAATATTCACGCACATAACCGACCATTTCAAGTCTTGAAACTGGCCGCTTTCTCGCTTGTTCTTCAACTAAGAAACCTCGCAGAAGCTACCAGTCATGGCAAAAAAGGATGGCTAGCACGTTTATTGGCACGAGATATTGAATTGACACCATTCATTATCTTCGCCAAAACCCCTTCGCGCGCACAACAACTCTCGTTTGCTAAAGCACTCTATCCTGTCTTCAACCAATGGTACAAGAACTACCACAAGCTCTGTCACAGGTATAGAGTTGACAAAAACTGCGGAGAAAACTGTTTCTTTATTTGGCGTGGAACTTTGAAGTTGGAAGAGTCTTGTTCGGAAATAAGAGGAAAGTCGTCAACGGTCACTCCAATCTGAGTGCGTTCTCATCTTTCCGGTACTGGTTTATCTACTTTTAGTCTACTATGCGAATCACTTTTTAGCGAGTCGGACTGTTTATAACACCCCTGTTCCTACATGTTTCCATGAAAAATACCTGGGCCTTTCTTAAGCATTTGAAAACACCACAGCATAGAACTAAGATGTCAGATCGTTCTTGTAATCGGATAATGTCCGCTAAGGACGGCAGGACCCGCATGCTCGTATATGTTTCGTATATGCGCTACGCCTTACCTGAAGCCAGATGCGCACGCACAGCACTTCTACAACTTATTTTCTTAAGCCTAATGATATTTGTCTTTGAAAAAATGATAACTGTCTTTGAAGTGACATGGACCCCCACCTATTTTACAGTGAGTGGCCAGGTACCCTTGAAGTTATTTCTGGTGCCTATAAAATATTATATGCCTATAATAATCTGATGATACACGTGATACTGAAATAAGGTTATTCCACACTTTACCCCAAAATCCACCCATAATAAACACACCACCACCACTACCACCACTACCACTCCACCACCACTAATTTAAAGCTATTCCTATCTACTAGGTTGTCTACCTCATCGTCGTACCCTCGCCGTCGTATATCCTATCTGCGAATCCCCTTACTGTCGCGACTGTCGCTATGTCACAATCATAGCCCGATGAGTACGATAAAGCCCCTACTATATTCTCGACCCCTCTAGGCCCCTTAATTTCAGGATCTTTTAACACTATCGATATAGCTTACACATTCCTTAAAGAGTATAGTTTCTAATATAGATAGAGTTATAAAGTCGTTACTTATTATCCTACTACCGCAAAGTACGAACTACGTAATCCTCCATAGCTAGACTAGGTCTAATTTACTTGCTCTAAGGCAGGGAAGTATAAGGAGTCGTCTGCCGCTTCGAATATATACCTAAGCAAACGTTATAACTACTAGGGTTCTAAAAAAACAGGGTATCCTTTTACTATTAAATTAAGTATTAGCGGTTTAAGATAGATATTTTAACTATAAGACAAATTAACCTTGCTCTATAACTATCGTGGCTATATGGCTCTAATAGCCGACCTAGCGAATCGCCGCGCGCGTATGTGTCACGAATCACGTGTTCACGTGATGCTTGTCATAATAGGAGGCGCAACCCTCGACGAGCATCCCAGGTTTCTTATAGCAAATAGGGACCGCTTAGGGTAGCTAAGCGATCCAAGGATTTTCATTGGTTATTATCACGTGATAAAGGACGACTGGCCGACTAAGTCGACCATGAGGACGAAGGTTCTATATAAGACTGGCACGTCTGCTATTAGATAGGAGCTTCGTGCTCAACTTAGTTATCAATCTTATTATATTTGTTTGACATCTTTGATACAAGTAACGAGTTCACTTCTAAGTGAACAACCCGATAGTCTTCTTATTATAGCATACCAACCAGCGAACACCTAGCCAAGTTTAGTGTTATGGTGGGAATCAAGGAATAGATTGTTCGCAAGGAGGGAAGAGAGACGCTCTTCGCACTCCTTAAGTATTTGTCTATCTACGGAAGGGTACACCCGCAACTTCGCTAAGCGAACCCTTATTCACTAAATCAAAAACTGTCACATTTAGTTAGCCAGTTTGAGTATTCGTTACAGTATGGGACGCAAAGTTAAGAAGGAGGTTCTTCGATAACATAAAAGTGGTGCCTTACCTGCGAATATTATTATGAATTTAAGATAGGAGAACTCGGTGGAAATAACCCTAACCGTGTAACGAATACTCAAACTGGCTAACTAAACTTGGCTGGGTGTTCGCTGGTTGGTATGCTATGATAAGAAGAAGACTTTTGATAACTAAGTTGAGCACGAAGCTCCTATCTAATGGCAGACATGCCAGTCTTATATAGAACCTTCGTTCTCCAAATCCCAAATGTCGACAGCGCGCTCGTCGTGCTGTCGCGCGCGACAATTCGCTTGTCGCGCTGTCGCGCTTTTATCACGTGACTATGAATGCTATGAAATCCTTGGATACTCAACAACCCTGAGTAACCACTGCTATGATATAACTACTCTGGATGTATCTGTCCTGTCAGAACGCCGTTTGGACTAACTCGTCACATGCTAACACGTGATTCGTGACAAACCGCTAGGGATATTACAAATATCATAGCAGCATCTGAGCGAAATAGGATTAGAAACAAATCCTAGATTTAGTACTTACTCGAAGTAAGTTCCTCCCTACCCTGTTGTTTATGTCTTTCCTAATTAGGAAATATTTAGATTCTAGAAAAAGAGGGATTCTCTCCTACCTATAAAAAACAACTAAAATCTCTTCTAAATAGTAAGCCAAATCCGAACGCGGATCGACTTTTATAACTCTTTTTTCTATACCCTAAATCCGTCGAATTATAGAAGAAGTATCCTTATATCCTACTTCTTGATTCTATATATAAAACGAACTAGTTTAATATACCACTTCTAAATATATAGGGTTACTAGTAATAACAAGGTTATATAGATTAGTCTTGTCTTTATATTAGGAGAAACCGAGTTAGATTACAACTAGGCGATTAAGTGCCTTCGAGGTATAATAGATAGAGAGAATATTCTAGAACCTATAGTACTTGTTATAGACAGAGAACTCGCGTTAATTAACGCCTTAGAGTTATAATTCCCTCGATCTAATTATATCTTTTATAAGTATTATATAAATATAAACGTAGTAGCTAATTATAAGAAGTTCTTTCCTAGCGCTATTAAACTACTAAATAGGGAGTATAAAAGACACCTAAAGTTTAGGAGCTTCCTATCCGACTAGAACTTAATTTTAGCTTGTTCTATAAAAGAGGGGTACAAATATACCCTATTGTAATTTAAGTTAAAGTATAATAGGCGAGCCGTGGTATATTACAAGTCTATATAGTTAACCTAGATGTCACGAATCACGTGCTCACGTGATACTTGTCATAATAAAGAGGCGCAACCCTCGACAGGCACATCCAGGTTTCTTATAGCAAATAGGGATTGCTTAGGCCAGCTAAGCGATCCATGGATTTCCTTTAGTTACTGTCACGTGATTGATGGGCATCAGAGGTGGTCGGACTGACGACCTCTGAGGAATCAGGATCGATCAGGGCAATGAGCACTGATCCGCGAGAACGAAGGTTCTATATAATACTGGCACGTCTGCCATTAGATAGGAGCTTCGTGCTCAACTTAGTTATCAATCTTATCATATTAGTTTGACATCTTTGATACAAGTAACGAGTTCACTTCCAAGTGAACAACCCGATAGTATTCTTCTTATCATAGCATACCAACCAGCGAACACCCAGCCAAGTTTAGTTAGCCAGTTTGAGTATTCGTTACACTAGAAGGAGAAACTCGTACGGTATTAGGTCGATAAAATACACTATGTGACGGAGCTGGATTTCATTTGACAGGATTTCATTCGCTTGGCCAAGCACGTGACGAGACTTGGCATTGGAACAACTTAAATAACTTCGCTCCTTTCAGATTCTCTTCTCTCTTTAGTTTGATTTCTTCGTACCTACGGTTTTAGTTCTAGCAATTGATTCAAAAGCTGTATACACTTTATCCTTTGTTGGCATCCTGTCACGAATCATGTGCTCACGTGATACTTGTCATAATAAAGAGGCGCAACCCTCGACAGGCACATCCAGGTTTCTTATAGCAAATAGGGAT